TTATTGTTATTGTATATTAATCTTATTCCGAAATTATTAAATACCCCAGCCACATAACATCTAAACTATAAGCGCTGTCGACCTATTTCGGCTTTGCTTTGATAAATTTAGAGAAACCGAAACGTGATTAAACTTCACGACTTTTTCATCTGTGGACGTTGGTTCGTGTCGAGTGAAAAAAAATATAAATTCATTAGAAACATCTTAGACCCGTTGATGTTTACCATACATCGCTACTAATACACCACACGGATAATAATACATACGAGGACCGTTCAGTGAAACGTATACAGAAATGTGTTCGCCCCATGCCCCACGAGGGAAACAAGATTTCACTTCCCGTACTCGAAGGTGCTATCTTATGTGTGTAATCTTCTAACTTGTATGTCTAGCAAACCGCCAAAAACCAAAAATGTCAATAATAAAATGGATTATCTATAACAAACACGATGTAAGTGAAATTTTATATGTTATGTATATGTGACCGCTAAGTTCACAGATAAACTTAGAAATGTGTTTGAATATATCTAAGGTCAAGATGACGATGTACGAAGGTTATGGATTTTGTAATACAAATAAATGAAGAACAATATTTGAAAGTACGGGCTTAGTTAAATAAGAACTTTAAGGTAGCCGAAATGAGTTTACTTAACAATAAATAAAATAAAGTTATAATAACACGTATAAATAACCATTTTGTGTGTTATATATTAGGTCAAAATGAACGTCTCATTAAACAAAATGTCTGAAACAGAATTGTAACTGCCACACCAAAATTAACACGAATTTCCACCCACCTTTTTGCAGTTAATAAGAGTAATACGAATATGCGCCGGCGCATCCATGCAGGTTCTACATATACGACAGTAGTTAAAAATATTAAGTTGAACTGAGAACCATGGCTATTTTTATCTATACTAACATTAAAAGTTTGCTTATTTGTTTGAACGCGCTAATCTCAGGAACTAGTGATTCGAATTGAAAAATGATTACTGCTAAAACGACTCAAGAAACCAAAAGATATGTATAAAATAATGTTTCTTATTTTCATGATATTTTTCTGTGAAAAATGTGCGACATTATATATCTCACTTTTAAGCTATAATTTATAAAGCTATAAAGCTACGTTGAATTCAAAAAAAAATTGTTGCGTAAAATAACCATTACACACAGTTGAAGTCGCGGGCACCGCTAGTGTTTAATGTATGACTACATTAAACACTAGCGGTGCGTAAGAGTTTTAGAAAGTCCTAAACATTTCACTGTTTACATCAAATGCGGCGAATTCCGTTGATTTTAATTAACAGCTTCGGTTTAATGAAATCTATTGAGGGACTATAACTGTTAATGATTGCTGTTATTTATAGAGTTTGATTAACACGTACTCGCTATGTTTAGTTAGCTGACAATATTTACCAATGCATATAGCTTGAGGTCAAATAAGTTAGTTAGCAATATAGTAACTTAAGATCACATGCGGCACTCGGTAGCTTAAATAAGAATAACGGCATGGTACTCTTTTGATCGGGAGTTCGAGACTTGCCTGGGACACTTTTCGATCTAATTTATTTTAAACACCGTCTCTATATTTGTATATATTAGATAAGGATTTTCTATTGTGTTTCCACATTATATATTAGATTCTAATAGAATTAGGTAAACGTTAACTGTTTTTATGTAGCCAAAAGGTGGTTATATTTTTTAAAGTGTTATTTATACTAATAACACTTTTTAAAAAATATGCAGCAAGTATTAAGCAAGAGAGCAAAGGAATATAAGTGGGACCAACAATTTTATATTATGATAATAACGTTATTTAAGAAATTATTAATATAATTATTGTCCTTTAAAATAACTTTCTAGTTTTAAATGTGTATCGCGCGATAGCAATATTATTACTTTGAACCAGTCGACCGATCGTTCGGTGAACTTAACTCGTTAATTGCTCTCTCTTATTGAGAACGATAAGTTCGACATTGTTTGAATACGTAAATTAATAAAACATCTTATTGTTAAAATTACAAGGCATTTCAACACCTCATTGCCTAGTTGTCTTAAAACTTCGTTGAAACTCCATCATTTTTTTATCAAAGAGTAACTGAGTTGTCCGGTTTGTTATGACAAAGAGGGATAGAAGAAGAAGTAGAAAGCTTTATAGAAAGTGAACTGCCTTTGCCTTTGTAACTGAGATGCGCTGTCTTTTTTTTGCTTTTTGCTTTTTACTTTAGGAAATCCACAGACTCATACCATAATGCGGATTTAAGGCTATACCACCTGCTTAGGTAGATCTTATCATGGAAATAATCGATATTCTCTCTTCTAAGACTATAGATATTCTATATAACTGGTACCGAATAAGTGTACTTTTCGAGAGGTCTTACGTGTTTGGAAAAATCAGACATTAACTTACAAATGCTTTTGATTAGATGGGAGTCGAACCCACAGCCTCGTGCCACTGGTCTAACGAGCCCGTGAATGTTATCAAAACAATATTTTGAGGATGTGTTTAAAATGTATTTGTAATCACAATTCTAATTGGAATAAGTACTGTAAACACAGTCTTGCAAAACAACCGCACTTCACAGGGTCAAGGCTTATCTTTGCGCAACTCGGGCGCATGTCACTCGACAATATTTCGGCAGGTTGCACACATAGAGCTCAGATATTCTCTACTATAATTATAAAAAAATTTACAAGGACGATTTTATGACTTACCCCTTCATGCCCTATTACCCGTTTAAGACGATCACGTTTAATACGATTTCAAACATAATACGTTATTAATGAGTCCCGGTAACTTGAGACATATTGAAGCCGTTTAATACGAACCGAACCAAGAAAAAGTTCAGCTGTTGAAAGTTTTCGATATAACAACAAATAAATCTAACTGCTGAGTTTCTCTTTGCAGTTTCTGCGATACGTAGGTACCAATCAACAGAATAGAGAAGAAATTAAAGAAAAATTGACAGCAAACAGATTGAGAGATTCTTTAAGCTGCTAGACATTGAATCGACACTTATGAGGCACTAGCTGTTTCAGCGACTTCGTCCCCTAAGAATATTTTTTATGGGTATCCAAATTCGTTTAAACCTCTTCATCTTTAAGTTATGCTGTTACCAACGACATCAGTCGCGTCCCTTCCCGTCGTTCTTGCTATCTTAAAAGATAGACATATAACGTCGCGGACTTTTTTTATCATTTAAAGACGAATCATTCATTCATACATATTTTTAGGGTATGTTGAACCGCTTTTGCAGCTTACGCCTCGAAAACCCATAATCATCAAGATATCATTTTACCAAATGTTTCAACATTTCTCGCTGTTTGCCTCCCTCTATAGATGATCTAACAATCACAAAAATATTTTTTTTAATTCGAACCGGTAGTTCCTGAGATTAGCGCGTTCAAACAAACAAACAAATCCTTCAGCTTTATATATTAGTATGGATTATGCTCTTGTAATAATATTTTGCTTTTACTTTCTACAGCTCTTACTTTCAACGTGACTTTGTAACTTAAGACGTCACAAAACTTAAAGAAACAACGTATTTAATAAGAATGAATTTCAAAAATCGTAATTCGCAAATAATGATAGCTCGTCTAGCTGAAAAAAGTAATAAGCTTGTAACATCTATAAATACTAAAATACAATGTGCTCAAGTCCAACGACACGTTTGTGTAAAAAAATTAAGATGAAAAAACAATTATCTTGATTAATTAGTTTTTGTAATAAAAAAGTATTATATACATATATAAGTATTATAATATGGCAATATCTCACGAACTACGGATTCGAATTGAAAAAATATTTTTGTGTTGGTTAGAAAGAACATTTATCGAGGAAGGCTATAGGCTAAAACATCGCGCTCGGACTAATTAGTCACAGCGCGAGGCGAAGGTACAGTACAGTAAAACGGTTCAAGACACCCATTAAAAGGTGATTGCAAAAACGAACTTGGATGCCCAAAATAAAGATTATCGCGGACGAAGTCGCTGACACAGCTTAATATAACAATAGTAATAATAATTATTATATATTATAGTTATTCTTAGTACAATAGGATTAAAAATGACAGATTTTTTGGTGCTTGTTTTTTGTCTTGTGTTCTGATACGTTACAGAACAAAACGTTATTGTGTTTGTCATTCCGAGAAACAGCGTCGCATCGAATAAAATACTACCTATCTACACAATGTAACCTTTAAAAAATATTTTTAACATTTCTTAAACGCAAAGTTGCACGCAATAATATGATCTTTACGCGAAATGTCGCGTTACAGTGAAGCTAACTTACACCGGCTTTCAATTTTCAATGCTACACGTTTCCAAATATGCAGTATGCAGTTGTGTTACAACACTTTCCCATGGTCACCTCAGTACAAGAATTAAGGAGTTCCATAAATCAAGACAATAATGGCAGATATTAAAGTTAGCTAGAATTAATTTTTAATGCACCAATGCATCAAAGTTAAAATGTCAAACTTTGATGCATTGGTTAAGAATTTTTCTATTTTAAGTGAAATCGTGTGTTTGATTTCTCGCGCTTAAACGTAGCGTTGTGATAAACATACATATTGCATTTAAGTACTCATAGCCAAGTCATAGTCGTAAGTTGTTACGTTATCTTTATTATATTATTGTAATTTGTTTAAACAATCATAATTTAGGTGTGATTCCACCTAAACTATATATTTTTTAAAGATTAAATTATGACACAATCTCACGTTTATAGAAAATAACTGTATTACTAAAAGACACAGGCAAAGGTACCGAATGCTGTCCGTAGCGGGTTTGAGTCTCGCTGCAAGACAGACTAGTAGAGCCAGAAGTATTTTTAAGCGTTTTATTTTAATTTACATACTTAAGCTGATCTCGTTAGCTGTGTATAAAGTTAATATTTTAAAATGTACAGCCTTGTAGATAGATGGTGCAACTTTTCTGCTTACGTTAAGGAAATGTCAAACAGGAATAATAAATTATACTTGTTTATTATTTTTTAATTATTGTTTGAGCTTCACTTTTTCGGTCGCAAGTGCCAACTTCCGAATGTTGCAAAGACAGCCGGCTGACGCCTCTTGCAAGATGGGGTCTTTGGATCCTATAGTTTCTAGAAGGAACTGTACAACTCCAGCCTAGAAAAAGAATAAGGAGTATTATCCGCGTAATATTAACTCTAATGGATCCAGCTTTGATCCAGGAGGGGGTCACATAGTCAACTCAAGAACCTTTAAGTGTCTTTAAGTTTTTAGTGTCACTATATTAATTTTTTATACGAAATATTTACTATTTTAATTGTATCTTAAGCGCAAATTTTCATTCTCCAAAAACGCCACGACAAAAGCAACAACCAAGTACAGGATTACGTAGCACATAACAATTGAATATTTAGAGTTTTATTTTTTACAAGTGACACTTAAAAATACAAAAACACAGTACATGCCCAGATAAAAACAATATCAGCGGTATTCAAGACTACTGTTTTTGTCATGATTTTTTTAGTACATATAATATACCACAAGGTACAATTATCGTGCATTTTTCCTCGTACAGACATTAAGCATTGTTTATGCGCGAGTTTAGGTATATTTAATGAAAGGAAGGTAGATATGATCAAGCTGTAACTATATCTAAGTTTAGCATATTAATCACAGATAGCTCGTTGTAGATTTAGAATTCGCATTATATTTGAGGAAAGTAAAGACATCGGTTACAGTTCGACGATCTCTGTTTATGTCTATATTGTTAAAACTAGCTTATCCGACAAATGACGATTGACTGATTTGATTAAAATCGGTTTTCATCAAGAATCATTATTTCGTTTACACAGCACACGCAAAAGAATCCCTAAAAGATGAATCAATTTTTTCCCGTTTCTTATTTTTCAATTCGAACCAGTAGTTTTTGAGATTAGCGCATTAAAAAAAACAAACCTTTCAGCGTTGTAATATTAACATAGTCGAGGTAGATGCGTTCTCAGGAAATCCATAGGCAATATTTGACCCATAGACAACTCACAGAAACAAGCTATTCCGTCATCATCTTTTCCATCTATAGCTTTGCTTCTAATAAATACACAGCTTATATGGAAAACTAATATTTACACCTCGACAAGGACGAAGGATGTCCTGTATATAAGGTTGTGTAAACATGGAAAAACACTTTTCCTAATTGAAATCCATGTTGCTGCAATTTTACTCAATTACTTTAAATAAAATAAAATAAATATTTTTTTAATAACACAAAATAGCCTTAGCTTGGCTTTATTTCATGGACGGTGAACAGTCTCAGTCCTATAACAATACCTAAATGCGCTGTCGGCCTATTTGGGCCGGACATTTCTCCGTTATTTAATAAACATTCGAAGTGAGACATTGAACCTAGTGTTTAAAGCACGCCTACAACCTATATATGGTATGTCTTATCTGCGCTGTAGTCATATGGCAAATGTGTTGCCTATACCTTTAATATTGCGGAAAAATATTTTTATAGTATTTGATTGCTTCTTCATCTTATAATAAGGAAATAGTTTTTTTTTATATTTGTTGCTTACGTACATAAAATAAAAATTGCCCTCTACTACGTATATAATAAAACTACTACTTTTTACTCAGATAAATAAATTGCGTTCTGGCGTTGTTGTTGTTGTTTGATGTTGTAAACATCTGACAAATTAATTTTTCTCTCTTAATTCTGACTAATACTCAATCCATTTACATTTGCTATCAGCTGTTGATGCTAGCTTTATTACAAAGTTGATTATTTTCATTGAGACAAGACTGACTAGGAAAAATATTAATGCATCGTGATATTAGTTATAATTGATGCCTATGGTCGTTAAGGAAACCAGTTTGTGTACAAAGCACCACCACCAGGTATAAAATTGAAAATTGAATTTAAGACTCAACACAAAAAAACGTTACTAAACATTACATATATACCTATAAACTCAAATTTAATATTACAAACCTTTTTTATTAGTTTGTAAGCGAAATGTAAAAAATATAGACTTCTGTTTTTAGCCTTTGGGTACAAACCCCCAAAATTAAGAGATTATAAATAAAAATTACACTCAATTTACGAATTCCGTTTAACGATTAAAAGAGTAAATTTTTTACAACCTACGTATGTTGTTAACTACCCCATTTTCCTAAAATCCGATAAATAGCTTGGCATAGTTGGCAGTAGGTAGCTTTAGCTTTAAAGGCTTACCCCTTACCGGACAATAAGATACCTGAGCGAAATATGCGAATACAACACAATATCCTTACTAATATTATAAATGCGAAAGTAACTCTGTCTGTCTGTCTGTCTGTCTATTACTCTTTCACGCCAAAACTAATGAACGGATTTGAATGAAATTTGGTACACAGACCAAAGAACAAAAAGGCTACTTTTTATTGCGAAAAGGGGGTTCTAAGGGGTTAAAAGGGGGGGGTGAAAGTTTGTACGGAAATTCCTTTTCTTTTTGAAGCTAGAACAATAAAATTTTCGTCTTTGGGAATGGGAGTGGGAGTGGGGGTGAGGGTGGAAGTGGGAGTGGGAGTTAGAGTAGTAGTGATGTGAGGTGAGAGTGTTGCGGCAAAGTAGTACTTACAACATAGATTAGCTGCGATAAATGCGCAATTACATAAATTAATAAACAACCTAAATAATAAAAATTCTACCCCAAGTCTAGCTGTCCACGCGAACGAAGTCGCGGGCAAAGCTAGTTTTAGCTATAAAGTAAGAGAATATTAGTTTGAATAATCGATAACGATTTTTGTAGAAGGGAAAAATATTTCCCTTGAGCGTGAAAGGTTTAACAATACAACAAAGTTACTTACCGCATGCATCGTGACACAGTTGACAGAGTAAAATGACAGGTGGTAGAGCGCTAAAGCCGTTGATCTGTGGACATTCGGGTCCCGTGACGTCATGTAGTTAACGAGCGGTGTGATGGCGCCACGCTTGCCAAATTCCTGGCGATTTTGGGCCCAATCGCAGCAGTATGCTATGGCAACACCTAAATTAGCACGTAAGTGGTCGTCTGTGGTGCTCACTGCAAGAAAACATGTATAAAATACTTTTTGTTGGAATCAACAACATTATGAATATTTTCTTTTTTTTAATAAAACCCTTTAACGGTTAAAAATGCTATATATATATAAATATATATCAGTTAAACGTTTTTGAAAATAAATTTAACTAAGACCCGACGTTTCGGATGCTTTGCAGCAGTCGTGGTCATGGGGAGTCTCCCAGTGAAATAAGTTTCACTGATATATATCACGTTTTAAACCGTTAAAGTGTTTTATTTAAATGTGTACTACTCGCGTAAACTACAGACAGTACATTCCTCTCCCAACTCTTACGCATATAAAAAGGATATATCTCATTTTATAATTAGCAATAACGTAAAATCGTAATGTTTATATATTACCATTTTATCTTCTTAATTTATTTATATTAATTTTTCCTTAAATTCTAATCGTCGTCTTATCCTATTTTTCAATGTATAATTTTCCTACCTTTAACATGACACTGGCAAGTTGTAACTACATTTTCTTGCCATAAAAAATGAGTAAATTAGGTTTTTCGCGCGTCTTTGTTGAAATTAGTACTTAGAACTTAGTACAGTTGAAATTAGTACAGTAGCACAAATTATAATCAAAATCAGCCAAGCACTAAAGATCTACTGTGAAATAAACAACTGCTATTATTGTATAATTTTAGGTCACACAAAGCCCTGAATCACCTTACAACAATGACGTATGCTGTATGTCACTTTAATTCGTAACCGTATCTCATCCATGTATATAACAAACAATGCCACTGCCAGTCTAATCATTTAATTTTCACAACAAAGAGGGCGAGAAAATAAGAGTAGGTTTTATAGATAGTAAAGTAGACAGCTGTAGTTTTTCTGTACTTAGGCCATCATACTCAACAAATTACGTAAACACACCAGCAAAAAGCGTAAATGTATGTCCTTTTATCTTGAAAATATTTATCAAATATTGTTTTATTAAGCTGAACAATTTCATAGCTTAATTTTCAATTGTATAGCGCCAGTCTTTGTAAGGTACAAGATTTGATTATTATTTATGTTAAAACTATAACTAAATAAACGTAGATAAATGGCAATTTAAACGAGGTGTGAAAACGTCGCAAGCTTGGCTTGTATAATAAAATAAACACGTAGTCATAATTCTAATTTACGAGAAAATCAGTTCGGAGGTTAAGGCCACTTATTTGTATTATGCACTAAAGATATAATTCCTTACTAACTACAATGGAATTTTATGGATTTACTTAGAATCATCGACAACTATGTTTATATTGCATTTTATAATGCAGGAATTGTATATTTACATAAGTGGCGCGATCCTGGGTCTCTCTAATGCCAAAAACATATATTTAATATTAATTATTTATCAACCATCGGTGAAAAACAGAATGATATCTGACTCATATCTCTTTTTTACTTCAAAATAATGGTGTACTGATTACTCAGTGCCAAGCGAGAAGTAAAAATAAGTCAATGTTTGCACCCGTGACATGTGCTGCATTGAAAAGTGATGATTCAAAGATAACTCTAATGAAACTTGTTTAAAATGGTGATTATCAAATTAAATTCATTCTATTACATATATAGCATCTTTACTAATATATGAAGCTGAAGAGTTTGTTTGTTTGAACGCGCTAATCTGAGGAACTACGGGTTCGAATTGAAAAAATATTTTGTGTTGGTTGGAGCATTTAGCTAACAGGGCCGTCACATAGGCTATAAATACATTGCACTGTGACTAATAGGAGCGAAGAAACAGCGGGTAATGTGGATAAAGCGGGATAAATTATTCATTATTATGGGTTTCCGAGGCGTACGCTGCAAGAACGGTTCAAGAAATTGTATTAAAGAATGACTCCCCTTTGAATGATCTAAAAAAGGCTGTGACGCATCTTTTAAGATTAACCTGCAAGAACGACGGGATGGGATGCGACCGACGTCGTGGGTATCAGCTCAAGTTTATAAAGATGAAGGTGTTTGCAAACGAATTTGGATGCCCAAACTAACGATCCTCGCGGACGAAGTCGCTGACACAGCTAGTATATTGTAAACATATTTTACCATTGCTTTTTTAATGCGGCTATTTTATCGCAATCATTGTGCTATTGAGATATTATCAGGTTAACAAACGAAATTTATTGTTAATTACTTACGTATTCAATTATGTTTCTTATTTACAGTCAGCAAATTAGGAACGTTACAAGTTTTAACTTGTAACTTAACTAATTATAATTGCTGTTTGTTTCAAGACAAAAATCCATAATCGGTTTATAAACGACTCCCGCGCAACAAAAACCTCCAAATTCAAAACGCTTTAACGTGGTTTATGATTCGCCACGCTTCTCTTACATAAAGTTAAATGACCCCTAATTGCCGTGATCATTACAATAAAACTTACCCAACTTAGACAGTTTCCCAACCACGCCGTGGTCAGATATCACCGCTAGATTCTCATTGTCTTTTGCAATCGTGGCTATGGCAGCACACACCGCTGAGAGGACGTTATGGTCATCCGAGTCTAGTAGATCCACTGTCAGTTCCAAAGCCCCAACGAATGAGCGGACCATCTCGCCAGAATCCGCCGCGTTCTGGACGCAGGGGCTCAGCGCTAACGCTGCGTTCGTTTGCACCTTCTTCGAGTCGTTCTTCAGTAAAGACCAGACTAATCTCACTCCGTCTAATTCGTCGATTTCTGACATGCAGTTTTGCTCTTTGGCGCACTCCATTAGGACTAATGGGACGTTTTCTAGTAGCGGCTTGTATGTGTTGTTTAGATGGTGTACTGAAAGAGAAAATGTATATATTTTTAATACATAAATCTATAATTTAAATACTGTCTGTAGTTAATAAAATTTAGCTAATATACATCGCGTTTTAAACCGGTAAAGTATTCTATTTAAACTATAATTTTCCTAATTTTATACTTATTGGAATAATCTGGCTTGGGTTATAAAGTATTAATTAATATTATGTAGGTATTATACTGATGATAATTTGTAATCTATTTTTATGTGTTTCGAATTTGTTTACCGTATTCTTGATAAATAATACTAATGCATCATTTTGTTCATACACTAATTTCCAAATTGGTACGTTACATTTTATTGTCATTTACGATAAATGCGAAGTGACTCATATAATGATTCATACAATAAAATCAATGAAACAATGTGCTGTTATTCATTACGACAAAAATAATGATCACTAGACGATATTAAAAAAGGTATTTTTAGTATAAAATGATACGACAAACTCCCTACATATTTTTTTTGTTTAAATATTGTTTGTGGTATCCGTTTAGCCAAATGTATCCTAACTATAATATCTATCTTAATTTAATTCATGGCATTTTGATCAATGTATGAGGAAACCTGAACGTACTCAGCATAGGTATGCCACCAGAAGATCGAATCTTGTCGCGATTCGGTGGATATTTAGCACACTCAGCTAAAGCGCCGGCCACATTCGTTAGTACTCCGTCGTTCTCATCATCCAGGAGCCTAACCAATATTGGAACTGCACCCAGATTGTCCAACTTCCTCACACTGGCGTCACTGTTTGCGCATTTCCATAGCGCGCCAGTAACAGCTGCTAACAACGGCTTATTAGCTCTGTTCGTGCTATCCTGAGCTGCTTCTACTAAATACTCTAAGGCACCAGCTTCCCTAATCATATCTCGTGTTATGGGATCATTTGCGCATTTGAAAATTGCCAGGCTGCAGTATGTCTGAAACGAGGTAGATTAGTTATATATTGTTGTTTACTAACTAGTTTGAACTATAAAAAAGGGGAACTCGAAGATTAGAACATATACCAATTGGCTATGCGAGAAACATAAACCGAAAGATGATATTATCATTAAGAGCAATCAAAGAGCTTTTGAGACTGTCTCCCCGTGACCACGGTTGCTGCAAAGCATCCGAAACGTCGGGCCGAAGTTAAAAATCATATCAAATAAGTTTGTAGTTAAGTTTATATTAGTATATATCGCGTTTTAAACCGTTAAAGTATTTATTTAGATGTGTGCTACTCGCGTAAGCTATAGACAGTATTTAAAGAGCATTTTATTAAAAGTTGTCTATACACTTTATGCCTTAAGACTCATTCAAGGCTATTCATATGTAAACAGTATAAATAACAAGTACATACAGTTTTTCCATGAGTGCAGTGATGTGATAACATTTGCGCAAGAACCCAAAATAGAGAACGCAACGGAAACTATAATTTTCGCATAGCTACGTGTCCTACTCGTAATCTTTAAAAACCAACCTTCAAATCCTTATCATCGTTAGCCAAGTGTTTGATCAGATCTTTCACCATCTTCTCGGTCTGAATAGCCAACTGGAAGGAAGTTTCGTTCGCGCACATTTGCAACAAACCAACGGCCGGCACGGCTACGTCGAGATGGATCGTTTTTAACATTCTGGCTATCAGCGGAATCATTCCGTACTTCCTCATTGCTTCCCTGTTCCTTTGCGAGGACGACATAGACCACAGAGCCTTTGCACCAGCTCTTGCAATGTCTAGAAATTGTAGTTCGTCTTGATTCAATTCTTCGCGTGGTGTTACTAAATATCTGAAGAATCATATAGATTAAAAAGTAATGGAACAACTCTATTTTAAAATAAAAATTAAATATACTCACTTATCTTTTATGTCCAATAAATCGATAAGTTTAGGCAGTCCTCCAAATTTCCTGCAAAACTTTCTGCTTTTACGAATTTTACCCAAGTTAGCTATTGTCTCTGCAGCTAATATCTGCACATCTCTTGCTGGGTCTGATAGCAATCCTACGAGAAGCGGTATCGCACCAAGATCTGTTACCTTTTTCCTGATTTCCATATTTGGCGTGATATCTCTCAAAACAGCAAGACCACCTACTATACAGCACAGATCTCGCGTCTCAAGCAGATTCACAAGTAGTTCCAAGCCACCTATTTCTTGGATCGCTCTTTGGTTGACTTCAACAGTCAAGTCGTGGTCTTTTAAACACGACAGAGCGACCATGGTAGCTGTCTGATTTCCAGCTTTCATATATTTAACTAGCTTTTGTATATGCCAGTACTCCGGTGGGATCTCTGTGGATTTGATTAAATCCGCCCAGTTGTCTTCGGATGACGAAGTGGATGAGGGTGAGGACGCGGAATTGTCGTCGCCTTCGGTCACCATTACTATTCTGGGAAGACCGACAGTGTCTTGGCCGCCATCGGCGCTGAAAGTTGATACGTTATCACCGTCCGCCATGATAGTAAATACAATCTAAATGGGAAAGAAAATAATTCAAAACAACTTTTAAGCTTGTAACCGTATTGACGAAACGCAATACGTTGCTTAGCAACCAACCATGGAGTTGAAAAGTAAATATCTTTAGACATAAAATATTTAGTAAAAAGACTTAAGACGAAACATCTATGCTAGTTGGTCTTGCAGTGCAAAAACTTAGATAATTTGTAAAAATAAATTATTATAATTTGTTTTATATTTAGCGTAAGCATAGTTAAAGAGAAAGTTTTCTTCAAATGTACAATTTGCTTTCTATAATGATTCACTGTAAAGACGCAATAATGCATTTTTGCTCTTATTTCTAAACTCAAGATGTTATAGCGATAATGACTTAAAGACTATCTAGTTTGTGCACCGCGCTTTCAAATTTTAGGTTCTGGTTTGATATAAACGTTCCTGACATTCGTTAACTTTCTGTTAAGTTCAAATACTTAGGTTTGTGTTAGAACACATGCTAACTCACTTGTTTGTATACATTAAAGCTACTATATTATATTATGTCAACTCATTAAATTTCTCTTCTAACTTAGAAGCCGCAGTCTGTCCCTGATACTAATAAATAATTATTTTCTCTTCTCGTTTGTTATGTTTTTATTACTTGATAGAATTGCCCTCATTTTGTATATTAGTGGGCTTATCAAGATGTTTCAAATGAAAAGAAATGTTAAAACTTGGATTAAGAATATATTTTAAGTCTATTAGATATAAAATGGGATAAAGGCATGTTTAATGCCTAAGATATAAAAACACTGGAAAGTAGTTTTTAATCAATTACTTCTGTGTTATTATGCTTATAGTTATCTGTGGGTATTCTTGTCAATTCCAGTGTATACAAAAATTCTGTATCTTTGTTACAGTTTCGCAGAAGCGTTAGAGACGTCTTGAAACCAGAACACAATGACCAGTTTTTGCTGAGATGGCTAAGAGGTAAGTTTACGGAGGTAAAACATTAAATATAGTTATTACGATGCAAGTAATTATTATACCTGAGGCGATATATAGGTTGTAGTCCTAAGAGATGTTAATAAGTTAGAATCATTGTCCGTCCCCGCCCCGTTATTTTGTTTTCCGCTTTACTTTCACGTATTTTGCCACATTGAAACTAAACAAATGAGGAAAAATTAAGTACCTATACGTCTCAGTTTTGTGAAATTGATTAGAGGTACTCTGTATAAAGTTAAAATAAAACTGTTTTCACCGTTTAAAACTTATAACTATTAGTGACATATTTTCTAAAAGATTCACCATTCGTACAAATTATATGTATTATGTTTTATATTGTATACATCTATCACATTTAACTGTGTCGTATGATTAGTCGTCATCAATTATTTAAAATGTTGATGCAAAAAAGCTAAACGATTTTTAAAAGTAAATTTCTGAATTAATCATTGCAAATGTAGGTTGAATAATAATTTTTATCCCATCAATAATATTAATTTACTAAAAACATATATCTTCGGTTTTTGTTACAGCAATTAACGGGTAATATAAATATGTAAATGAGCTAGTAAACTTTTAATACATATTTATAACAGGAAAACGCCCACTTAAATTTCAAGGAATAATTCTCTTTGTCTATTGACGTAATTAAAATTAAAACAAACGTGTTTTGTTTCAGCGAGACAATGGGACCCCGAGGCGGCTGAAAAAATGCTTAGAGACGTATGTTACTTTTTATGTCTTGTTGTATTGTGTAGAATAGTTATTTTGGGCATCACAAATTGTTTTTGCAAACCTCATGTATATAAATAAATAAGTACGGGACTCACGTAATAGCTATGTTACGTGAGTCCCGTACTTATATATTTTTTTTAATTTTAAGTGGAATCATGCATGTCATATTTTTTGGGGGCAACGGAAACACTCAAAGATGAAACGTTTAAACGAAAAACTATACCTTTTAATATTAGTATAGATAATATTACACACTTTAATTCCTACGTAATATTTTTTACTTGACTTAAACATTTTTTATAATACATATCAAATTAAGTACGCTATCATGATTTTTAATCTCAGGTAAATAATAAATACACAATGAAAAACTTAAATTAACGTCAAGTAATTAGCAACAACATTATTCAAACTTAGTTTGTGTTTTATGTCAGCTTTCTATTTTAATTTAAGAATTCTCTACATTAACAAGTTTTCTTATCTATCTATACTAATATATAAAGCTGAATAGTTTGTTTGTTTGTATGTTTGAACGCACTTATCTCAGGAACTCTCGCGACCGATGTAACAGCGCTGTTACATTTATAAAGATGGAGAGAAAGTTTTAAAAAACAAATTTGGATGCCCAGAATAACTATAATTAAGTATACTACGCGGACGAAGTCGCTGACACAGCTAGTAATCCATAAACTCAATAGATAGATTTTATGCTTAATATCACAACTGTCACAGTTTATAAAATTGCTCAACAAGTGTGCCAACCTTCAAAATGGTCTTGGTTATATTACAATACCTATCTATTTACAATGTAAATGATAACATAGTGAATATTGTTACATATATTACCATATATTTTTTCTCATTTTAATAGATATAAATCTTGTACATATTTGGATATAAAAATGTTTTATTTATTACGTAAGATTTAAATGACTCTTACAGTCTATGATATGGCGGGAAAAATGGGGCATTGACACAAATCTTCACTCTTGGAAACCGCCAGAGGTGCTGGAAAAACATTTTCCCAGTGGAACCACGGGATTTGACAAGGAAGGCTCACCAAGTAAGAATCTTTATATATCCCTTTCCAAACAGTTAAAAGGATTTTAGATTAAGGACCTTCTTCTTCTTCTTCCTTTCGTCTAATTTATTTGTCGCTTGAGCGTATCATTAGAAAAAGTAGGTTGTGAGAAGCAGTGACAGTTCTGTTTCAGATATATTAGTAGAAACAAAATTAGATTACAAATTGTTATCAACGCCATTTTCGTTCTAAGCAGCACGTGCTAGATACAGAAAATATTTTTTGCTTTAAAAGCTTAATTTAAATTCATATATGCTAAGAACAATTAAAATGTAAATGTATATTCTTCATATATAAAGCTTTACTTCTTTTATTTTATATAAGTAGATTTACTATAGTAACTTCGTGTTTTATGATTATGAGAGTTTGTTGCAATTTTTAGTAAGAGCCTGAAAGTTGAAAGCACTAAGTTATAGTTGTTAATTATTACTTTAAAATGTTCATAAAACGCGAACACATATTTAATAACAAAAATATAACCTTGTTATCATTAAAAATTAAAAAAATAATACTCCAACACTTCCTTTACCTATATCTACTATTACATAGGTTGATTCTAATGGTTGTGCTTGAAAACTTTATTAATTTTTACATGTTATTGCACTATATAATTTAACTCGGGCAGGACTTGAACAGGCATCGTCAGCGTCAGAGCAACAGCACGGAACACTGACGATGCCGGTTCAAGTCTTGCCCGAGTCGAAAATTTTTTAAATTTATTTTCGATTTTTAAATTATATAGTTTGTGCTTGACTGTAGATTAGAACACTTATTATTATAATTATTGTTCTCACTCCACCAATTTTCTACTAAAGACGGTCTCCTTGGTCTTATGATAGCTAGTTAAAGATTAGATTTAATTAGCATAATAAATGGTATGTGGGTTGAATTCCTCGAGTTCCGTTTTTATTAAAAAAAATGGATTATAACTTTTCTACACCATGGCAGGCTTGATTTTGAAATTAAATGGCTTGCAGGAATATCGAAAATCCGATTATGAACAACTGTCTTCAGGTGGACACCATGGAATGTTACGCGGTTAATTTTGGTTCTGTTGATTTTCAAATCTCCAACGGCAAAATAGGGCGACAACAGATATTGTTTAGATAATGGCTGTGGTGTTACACCTTCCATGTTTGTATAATTATCCTCCTCTGTCTATAAAAAAAATGTTTAAAATGGGTGGCTATAGCTGTTTTCAAAACAATATATACGCTGTAATTCGGTCAAAGAACCTGTGATGAGTTGAGGACCTTGTGGAAATGTTGAATTTCTGGTTCACTTTAGATAGCGTTGGAATTACAAGTGATTTTTACGTAATCAGTTCGAGTAAATATGTTTTCAATTTTCTCGAGTGAATATGTATCATTGACATTTATTTTTATTCGAGTTCTTTTCAGTCTTTCTATTTGAAACCCACGCGGTTACATTAAGTTATTTTATGTTCTAATGTGTCTTCTGAATTTTAACCAATGTCCACTATCATAGAAAAAAATTAAAGGCACGTTTTCGAAAGATTCGATTCTTATACCAATACAGGCATATCTTAAACTACTTTAATTAGGTAAAAATAATAAATATTAACCCTTTTTCGAGGTACATATTAATATATAAGTTCTTTGGAGTTATGATTTCTAAAAGAAGTATGTCCTATATTGATAAAAAATCTTCCTTCCGTGCTAGTACCACATTAATTTAATTTATGCAGTTATGTGCAATAACATGTTTGAAATAATTGTAATATTTTTACAGTCATTTTCGTACCCTTCGTCGGTTTGGATGTATGGGGACTACTGCATTCAGTGAGCAGGACAGACTTGATCAGAATGATCTTACGGCACCTAGAGCACTACTTAGCACTTGGCAGAAAGCAATCTTTAACTTATGGACCTGCTGCTTTAAAGGTAAGAACAATTTATGATATATACTTAATAAAAATAAGGTAAATTCGACGGGGTTCGTTGGTGTAGGTAATGCTTGCAATGTATGGCTAACCACCGTCCACAGATGAAGAGTGTAATCGCGCTTCGGTTTCAGCCTGTGGATTTCCGAATATCCAAAACCAAAATAGGACGTCAGCGCACGTTGCTTAAATGTTATATGGCTAGGGTATTTCAGAGAACCCCATGCTTGCCTGTCCTCTAATATAAAAAACACATTTCTGTTACCGTTTTAATCAGTTTTTTATTCGTTAGTTTATGCCTGATCGACACAGTCTATTGTTTCTCCGGGATTCTAACCTCAATCTTCAGCAACAGGTTTAAAAATGTAGCTACAGAGAGTTACTATATATTCGATGACAGTGAGCGTAACGTATATTCTACCAATTAAGTAACTCAATAACCTAATCATGTTTCATCTTATATGCTTACAATGCTCTAAAATATTTTAGTTGCATAGCCGAGAGTCGAACTCTCAACATGCAGTGTGACACATAGATTTGAATTAAGAGAAAGACAAACAATATTGGTATAAAAAATTAAATTTAATTAAGTCCAAGGCTAAATATCATTTCCTTGTGATAAGTCCTATCAGTTTCCTCGTCAAAAGTACTGTTTCTACGTCATATATACCTAAGTTATTTTAAGATGCTAAAATAATGTTTAAAGCAGTTAATTAAGGAAGCGGTAAATATAGTATTTTTTTCTGCGGAAGTCGCGGAAAATACTACTGAAATTATCAGCAATTTTAAAGTTAAAGTGATTTTCGTGTGTATTAAGCAGTGTTTTTTTTTTTATACCGATATTAAAATTTACGTAAATGATTACATTAATCTTAAATACTGTCTATAGTTTACGCGAGTAGTACACTTAAATAAAACATTTACAGTACATTTAAATATAAAACTTTAACGGTTTAAAACGCGATATATTAGTTAAACTTATTTGAGAATGATTTTTAACTACGGCTCGACGTTTCGGATGCTTTGCAGCAGCCGTGGTCACGTCGTCTTGTCTCCCCTTGACTACAGCTGCTGCAAAGCACCCGAAGCCATCTTTAAAAATCCAAGTACATAAAATTTTATTTTTAACGAAAAGATATCCTTCATATTATGTTTGCATAAATTGTCTAGCGTTAAGTTAAGCAATGCAAAGCTGAATTAGTACCGGGGAAAACACATAAATAGTTTAGGAAAAGCTGACAGAAGTTTGAAAACATTAATATTTTTCACATGTTATTGCACATGAAGGCACTATATATTTTAAAGATCGAAAATAAATTGATACGCAAGTGTTAAGGTAGAAATTACATTGCGCGAGAGGTGCATGTCTCAATAAGTTGAAAAAAATTCGACGATGAGGTGTAGGACTCGGTAGCTCAATTGGTAGAGCAACAGTACGGAAAGCTGACGATGCCGGTTCAAGTCCTGCCCGAGTCGAAAATTTTTTTCAATTCATTTTCGATCTTTAAAAAATACTTGCCTGTAAATAAATTAGCTCAGTGAAACGACACAGAACGAGAGTGTCCCTCTATATAAATACTCGCTGCGTCAGCGATAAGAATTTTTTTTGCAAACCTCATCCTTTAAAATTAGGGCTACCTAACTTGTCGTCCGCGTCCCGTCGTTCTTGCAAGTTAATTTAAAAAAATAGACATATACTGTCGCAGATATTTTTTATATTATTAAAAGGGGATTTATTCTTTCTTTCATATTTTTGACAATCTTAAGCCGTTTTCGCAGCGTACGCACCGAAAGTATGCACCGTGGTAACAGTACATTTTATAGCCTAACTTATGCATTTTCAATAGACTCGTAACATTTCGTCTGTTGCACACTTCTGAGTAACATAAGCAATATGTGCATCTACTTAACTTTAATGTACAATACGTGCCAGCCATCAAAGCGGTTTGCTCTTGCGCAATGTGTTTTGAAATATTTTCCATCGCGTATAGAATCGTTGGTGTAAGAAGCCTTTTCTGAATAAATTGTTTTTCTACCATTGTTTAACAAGGTAAACAATAGTAAATAATCTCACGACAGAAAAATATTTAAATTCGCGCCATATACCGAATTGGTAAGTAGGAACAAAATGGCTCACCGTGATGGTAACGCAGTGTCCAGCCAGTCTTCCATCAAAGTGATCGTGCGTTCTGGATCTGTATCTTTACCGAATTTATCTGTTTACGACAAACTAAAATTTAAAAGCATATCTTCAGACTTGACACTTTTTCGTTGATTATAATCGTAATAGTAGTTAATAATAAATAGTTATAACAGCAAACTATCTGTAGTTTACGCGAGTACTGCTCATTTGAATAAAACACTTTAACGGTTTAAAACGCGATAAATAATAGTTAAACTTATTCGTATATTATTTTAACGTTTCGGAGGCTTTGCAGGAACCACGGCTGCTGCAACGGTTAAAGTGTTTTAGAAAAATATAACCCTCTATTCATCTTCGTTCAAACTTCGTCGCGTAAACTTCTATTTAAATGTGTATTTCGTGACATTAACGGTTCTTAATATACTGTAATATAACGCATATAGACTAAGCAAAGAAAACTTTTATCATTTCAGGTAACAGTCATTTTCGATCTGGAAGGATTTAACATTAGACAGTACGCCTGGAAACCGGCCGCAGAGATGGTCTTCACTCTACTCCAGATTTACGAGGCTAATTACCCTGAGATCTTGAAGAGTTGCTTCCTCATTAATGGTGAGAGTCTCCTGATTTAAAATCAAAGCTAGACGTCATTATGCACATAAGCACTTGATGGCGTTATTACGTATGTTATTGAAAAGGATGAATGTCTATATTTCGAATTTTTAAAATCACATTATATTTGCAGAAAATATATTAATTAAAAAATCGATTTTAAAATAAAAAATAACTACACGGGTGACTCGGCATCCACAGCGTTCTGTGCTGTTGCTCTAACCAATCGACCTACCACGATGCTGATGGTTAGGGTACGATTTTTATTTATACTATGCCATCATGTGCTTATGTAAAAAATAAAGTTTTCAAAGAAATTAATAAAAGCATTCTCTTCATCAAGACATATCCTAAATTTAGCAAGTTTTCTACACAATATTTTTAATAATACACACCGTGATTAATTTTGCCTAGTCTTTAACTCATAAGATTCTATATTTGTAAATTACGAAAGTCTAACGAATTTGGAGTTAAGAGTAAAAATACAACCTCACAAGGCATTAAAGTCCTAAAATATTTGTTGGTAATTTTCTTATTTGAAAACCGTTTTTATTTGCGCCGATATTCACTCAATCATAATCTATCTCACAATATCACATTTGCTCTAATTAAACTTCATGTACGAAATAATAATCTTAGCAGTATTACGGAATTCCTACTTGAGATATTTACAACACGCCGCGTTGCATAAAGACAGTAATTTAAGATTGCCAGTAATAATGACTTTACGTCGAGTTGCATAGCTTATTCAAAGCTATTCACTTGCTTCGATGAAGTAGTGTATTACTCGATATAAAGTATTTTTCTTAGAACTAGGTAATTATGAATCTGGATGGAAGATTTCTATAATTAAAAAAAAATAATATGAATAAATTATTTTTATTTTTATTTTTCGAATTTACTATGCCTTTATTTATGTTTGGTTACACTATTTAATTTTTAATATTACACTATATTTTTTGTTTATTTTAGCGCCAAAGGTATTTTCACTCGCTTTTTCCGTCGTGAAGAAGTTTATGCACGAGTACACGATATCGAAGATAAGAATATTTGGCACAGACGCAAAGAAATATCAACCACAGATACTAGCGCTCATAGACAAAGACACACTTCCCGCGCATTATGGCGGCAATTTAGTCGATGAAAATGGCGATCCACGATGCAGCTCCTTGGTAAAAAAGAAATAAATATTATTAATACATACATATTTTGAAATAGAATTGTAATTTATAGTATTGAGAACTTATATAAATACGATTTTTTACCGTAAACAACTCTTTTATAGAGATATATTGTTAGAACATTATATTACTCTTCTTTACGTTGTTTCTCTACAGATAAAACCAGGTGGCAAAGTACCTAAGTCGTATTACTCGCGTAATATACAAGAAGACGATTTAGAAGAAAAATACACGCGGACTACCGTCAAAACTGGAGAGAAACATGTCATAGATCTACTGTGCCCAGACAACGAAAGTGTTCTTAAGTATGTGCTATAAAAAAAAGTGCAAGTTAATTCTGATCTACTATGTCTTGAACTATTGGTACATATGGAAAACTGACACACTGCTTACAATTTAACGCATTTTTGCGGTAGATTACAAATCTCTGTAACAAAACTGTGAAATCACAATCTTCTGTTATCTTACATAAAAAGTTGTTAAAATGTTCTTGTCTATGGTAATTTCAGGTGGGATTTCGGAGTTGAGAGCCACGATATCAAGTTCCTGATCAAGAAGCGTGACGCGGAAGGCAACGAAAGTGTAGTCCACGGTCCACGGAAGGTCACTGAAGGCCCAGCAGATGTTGGTGTCATGCCGGTCACAGGACCTGCAACTTGTGCGTAGTCCTATTTTAAATAATTATAACATGCGCATATTTGTAGGATATTTAAGAAATTGTAGCAGTTGGTCCTGGCGTAACGCGCCGTTACTCTGTTACAATTATTTGGCGCACATTCTTATTCCCCTCAAAAGGTGATGTTATTGTAAATTAACGGATCAGACGAACAGTACACGGTCCAAATAGAGTGTTTTGACAGTTTGTGCATACTTCGTATGACTAACGATCAACGGGTCCTAGCTCCGATCCCCACCGGATTCTAAATATTTCAATTTATATTTTTTTGTATAACATGTTTGATATACAAGGATAGGATAGGATTATCGAAATTCCGCCCAGTCACGAACCTTTCATCCGGGAAGTGTAATCGCGTTTCGGTTTCAGTCTGGATTTCCGAATATACAAGGCCAAAATAGGTCAACAGAGCTGCTTGTGTGGATATTATATGGATGAGGATGGATGATGCACCTCCCATAAATTGAACCCTATGCTGGACTGCCATCCTCTATCATTAAAAATTACCTTTCCACGATAAAATAATAATCAGAGGACATACATTTGTTTTTTATTTCAGATTCCGTAATATTCGACAACAAGAGTTCCTTCATTAGAAGTAAGAAAATTTTCTATGACGTTCTAATATCGATACCAGAACGAGATCTCAATATGATGAACCTTCCCGAAGATATAGCCGACTTAAGCATAACACCATCGTCTTCCAACTAACTTTGTATATTTGGGGAATCATTAGCTAGTTATTACTTGTAAGCATTTCTTGTATATTATAGAAGCTTATTTGACGCTAAGGCATTTATGCTAAATTTAAAGCGAGTTTTCGTGATTTAAATAAAAAACTAACGGTTTAAAACGCGATAGATATAAGTTAAGCTTATTTGAAAACTATCATATAAGCCTACTTAAAAATTTTAACTACGGCCCGACGTTTCGGATACTTTGCAGCAGTCGTGGTCACGGGGGTCGGGGAGGTCGAAGAACTTGTTGTTTATTGTTACGCTAGCGCCATCTGTTCCGTCGTAGTTAGTATTTGACGAAACTGGCCGGGTCCTTGCTACCTAGTAACAGCTATATATCGCGTTTTAAACCGTTAGTGTTTTATTAAAATGTGTACTACTCGCGTAAACTACAGTTTTCGTGATATTAACGACATATATTGTAAGTTAAAGGTCGTATGTGATAATTATAGGGCATTTTTAACCGCTAATAGACATAAGCAAATATTGTTAAAACGAATTTGTAGCTAAATATACTTATATAGGGCACAAGTTTGGTCTAGTATTCATTAAAAAATCTTACAGCTCCCCTAGCGGCTGTAATCAAAACTACTTTCGTAGTTATGAATCTATACTATTTTTTTTATATACACATTTTATTTGCTCAACGATTCTTACTTAAATTTTATTCTTAGTTACGTTATGAAATACAATTAAAAAAATAGATTCCAACTCGTAAATATTATCGAGGTTATTCTGTGATATAAATGCTTAAACAGATTAAATATATATTAGAAACATCTAAAATACTAGCACTAGATAGTGTCACAATGGAGGGTAGAAAGTACCCTCATTTTTTTATTGACAAAATTAATCGGAATCTTTACTTATTTATAGAGCGATTGTGGAACTTGTTGTCTACAAAAGAATATATTCTTTAGCGTATTTATCGTAATCAAAATCTTTTAAAGACTCTAGTACAAATTTGGTACCAATTTTCGGTTTATAATAAGTTATTCGGTAACAAAGCATGTATGTTGATCAATGTATTTTTAATTTTAACTAAGTATGAGATTATATGATTTTTGTATGTTAATTTACAAAATAAAATATACTTAAGACAGTTTTGCCTTATTTCAAATCAAACTCACGCTGAATGCAAGAATTTATTACTTATCCTTATCATACACAAATGAATATGTGAAACGATAAATATAGAAACAGAGATTTCACAAAATAATTTATCATATGTTGATAGAGTTAATACAAATTTATCAAATACCACTGATTATAAACCAACTTCAAAAAGGGAGGTAATTCATTGAACCTATAAGTTATTTGATCAGGTTTTATTTTTGCACAAGTAGTACATTACATATATAATTCAAAAATAAATTCAGGTCTCATAAATTTCATTATATTTGATAAGTCGACACTGACAACTTGATTTTCACTTCATAGTTTCCAACAACACCTCTTTAATAAATATACTTTAAAAACTGTTGTCTCTTAGTCTAAACAGAATTAGGTGACTAATCATCATCGTCTTCAAATAGCATTTGTAATAAATCTCTATTATTGCATTGACTGCCTTCTAGCCTCTGAACTCCTTTCCATTTAATAATAGTCGGGATAACCATTAGTCTAGTACGACTATCTGTTCTAAACGGACATGTTTTTTCCTTCCAGCTGTAAATAACATAACATACTGTAATCTGATAGTACAGCGTGAGTACTCTTGATATAGTTCAAGATTAAAAATATATTGTTATGGAAAATTATATTACATAATTAATTTAGTGAAATAGATATGATAAATAATACTTTTATAATTTTGAATTTGGTTGCACGTAAATGTTTCAACAATCTTACTAAAATATTAAATTACTATGTCTGCTTATGAAATAAATATATTATGCAACCCCATTGATTGATTTCTTTATTTTATTGAGCTTTTTCCTAAACATGGATGAATTAATAAATGCAGTGCAGTTTAAACAATACTTACTATTCCCGTTCCCCAACATCAACAAAAACAAAAGTGACATTCTTTTTTAATTCAGTCAGGAATGTTTTCACTATTGGCTCAGCTGTGAAAAAAAAATAAAAAAATGTAAACCCCATCTTATCACCGATAGATAAAATTACACAACAGATAAGAAAAAGATACTTTTATATTTACATAAGTAGCAATGATGATAAAAAAATGTGTTACTTTTTTCATTTAAAATCTTTTGAATGGGATTGAGGAAATAGTGTCTGTATAAAAGCCTTAAAATATTTGCTATGTAAAGAATCATTCTTAAGTAAAGTATGTGGAGATTCTTTTTATTACGTTAATCTTTGAGGCATTTTATAAAATAAATTAATCTACAAGCAAAAAGGATTAACCCAAAAATCAAAGTTAACTTCTTGGTGTTAAGGCACTTCTAAAAAATGGTATGGTTTAATTAACTTAGGTAAACACTAAAACCATACTTTTAACAACTGCTCTATATGCTTACCCCTCTCTTACCCATCAAACAATAAATGCACCAGCTCCTTCCTGATTCCTTACTCCTACCCGTAAAGAAAAAATATATGTGCTTTTTCTTATTAGGAATATTTTCAACATACTTTGTAAATTCGTCATAATTATTTAATTCGAGAATTTTCGTTTTCTTACCCATATGTAATAAATTAAATGCAGAATAAAATTACAATAGCTAATGGCAATTAATGTCAAACTATACTTCTTACGAACTTACTCAAGGAGGTTAAATGAGAGTATATATTGAATTATTGATGTTACACGACAAACTATATACAACTAGGATGTATTTTAAAATATAACAAATATTGAAGAAAATACCTTCTTCGCAATCGGGGCACCAACTCTTCCCATTTTCCATTTTTGAGCCGGTAAAATAAAATAGAACTATGGGGCCATTTGGATCAATGCTGTCTGTAAAACTGACGAATTCTTCAAAACCTTTGATTTTCAATATAGTGACCATTTTGCCGTTAAAGTTTTTTCGTATTTATTCTTAAAACGTAAAATGAATTAACAAAGGCCAAAGGCACACAAAATAACTCTGCTCAACAAATGATTAGGTATTTGAAATTTCAAATGTCTAGGACACGAACTATCAACGTCAAGCTGGCATTACGTCAACTCACTTTCATAGACTATAATTCAAAATTAAGGGATTGACGTGCCTTAGCTGTGGGAATTGAACGAGTTCCGTTAAGTTCAAAAATTAAAAGCTCCGTGACAGTTGCTTATGTTGTGTTTATAATAATTTGTTTCGTAATGTAGTTTCTGAGTAGTTGTATATTTTTGAGAAATTAATTTAATTAGCTACCATATAAACTAACTTATTTATTAGTAACAGCTGTATAGATATCGATTATTGGAGATCGCACAATTTAGACATCTCTATTGCAAGGCAATATTATACTCGTATCTTAAAATGGATAATAAGCACGCAAAACAAAAGCCAATGAAATTCTCTGATTGGGCACCGAATTGTAAAGGTAATGTTACACTTATAACCTAATTAAAATACGGTTAACCTTTCCAATCTATTAACTCATCTTCGTTCTTACACATTTCAGGTCTAATATCTGCAAGTGATATAGAATTCCTGACTGAAATGAAAAAGCCAGTAACACAGGCAAACGCGACAATGCTAAAACCTATTTCTCCTACATCTATGCACTTAAGTTTACAAGGTAGTAAATTCTTTATATGAATCCTTAACCATTAGTAGAACCATTCAGTTGCTAAATTGAGAAGAATGTATACTACATATACAGTATTAAAAGCAAGGTCATATAATCCATAGTAAACATGACCAGACCTATACATTTAATAAGGCACTGCGCCAGTGCTTTATAATCAAAATAAAGGCCTTTGTATTATGGTGGCATTTAAGTTTCTTGGTGAATATACTAAATATTGTTACATTTTAATACTTTTATAGCTCTAAAACAGAAAAGTACAAGCCAAACACCATCAAGAAAAGCTGCTTCCACCACAAAGAAGAATTGGAATTCCTCTGTAAAAGTTAATAGTAAACGTGAAATAACAGAGGATGGTAAAGTTAAATGTAGTGTTAGAAAATCTCTTTATTTTCAACCAAGGACTAAGGTTAGTACCACATTTTTATTTAAATGTAACAATATTGTATATTGTTTTATTAGAACAACATAGTATTATAGTGCAGTCTACAGAAGAGATGCACAAACCGCGGCTCACTGATTGAATATTGGTTGCCCACCAACTGCAAAAATAATGAAATTAATTTATTCTTTTTCAATTCTAATACATTATTATATTATGAATTTATTGTCTTAAATGACTTCTGGCAGCCTGCCACCAGTTCATGGTTTACCCGAGTGGACCCTAGTCTTAATAATTCTGTGCATCCCTGGTGTACAGAGTCACCTGACTCTGTAGTTACTGACTGAAGTGATTATTGATTATTATAAATTTATTTCCACATGACTTGAGTGTTTATGGCTTGCAGTTCCTATTTCATAATGCTTTTTATCAATCAGACGCCATTACATTTAATTTCAGGCAGTTTTAATAACAAAGAAAACAATTGTTCAACAAGAAACACCGATTATAAGAAAGCCAGATATTACTAAAGTGAAAAAGGCTACATTTGCAGGTATATTTTTTATTTTCAGTACTCAATAAAATTTATGCAAATTGTACCTGTTTAATAAAACAACTCAACTGGTTCATACGCAAAGCATATGTCATAGTTAACTTATTTAAGTTTATTATATGTAAATTATACCTGATATAGTCTGATAAGGCTATATTAACCATTTTATTTACATAACACAATTTAAGTATGGACTATTTTAGTACATTGTGCCTGATTCTAGAACAACAGTGAGCTGTATTTTCTTAAAATGAGTTTCCTTGCCTTTTACACTACATACACTGTTCAAATAAAAATCAAAAACATTTCAGATAATCCAAAAGCGAAGATTAGTGGAATCAGCAGAATTCTTGATACACCACAGTCGTCACGAATTAACAGAAAGACAATTGCTAATAAGGAAAACGAAGTACCAACAAAGCCAATCACCATCACCACTCCTAAAAGCATATTAAGAAAGAAAAAACCGGATAATTCACTTACGAATTCTAAAAGTAGCGACGCGAGTTTTCTAAGAATTGAGAAAGAAGTGAATGAAATGGAAGACGTATCAGTAAAACAAAAGCTGATCAAACCATTACAGCTCAGTAGTGAAGCATTACCTTCATCAACTCCATACAAAGACCACAATGGACAGTCATTCTTTAATTATTCTGACTCCGCAGAAAATAATTCTCTATATAATGACAATACTATTATGAGTTTTAGCAATTGTAACAAAAGTGGCCAACATGACAGCAGTTCTCTTGACTCACTTTGTGATTTCTTACAAAAAACAGCAGTTATAAATGATGACGCTGAAGCAGAGCAGTTGTTCAAACGAAAAGTTGAACTCAAACAGGAGATAGCTAATTTAGATAATGTTATAGAAGATGCAATAAAGAAAAGGCTTAGTGTGATAAATACTTTGCAAGATGTCATTGCAAGAATAGAGAGATTTAATGGCGCTGAAAACGCCAGAAGCAAACATCTATCGCAAAACAAAATTAAAATAAACTCTCCTAAATTTAAGATACCAAAGAAGACCTGTCATCAAAGGAGCATACAGCGGAAGTCCCTTTCTAAAGACAAGAAAAAAAAAAGTCCTAATGTTACAGAAAACAAAGCTCTTAATATATATATGGATATGAAGAAGAATTTAAACTTTCTGAACACCCCTAGTGTGAAGAGAAATAAAGATGCCACTGACACGCCAGCCAGGATGTCTAAAAACTTACAGACACAATTAGATAAATTGTATAACAATAGCATTGATAAATGAATAGTCTATCATAATTATTCCATGTATTAGTTAAGCGCAAATTAACTTTTCTCTTAAATTCTTCATGCTTCATACTATTCAACTTGTCATTTTGAATATTCAGTTATGTATTTCACTATTTCCGAAAGTAAGTCATTTATTTTATTTACATTACTTTACATTTGGGAGTCGTAAAATTTTGGCAAGTTTAAACATTTTTAATATAATTCTTTTAATGATTAATTACTATGATTTATTATGGCTTCCAGACCATTCTACATAGCCTAACTGGAGCTAGAATTTTGAATAAAACAAATAATAGTAATAATCAATATATAATAACAATACTGAAATAAAACTGTATTCAATGTCAATTAAATAATTCTGGATGACATGTATTATGTGTGGAAGAATACAGTACAGAAATTGTTTAAAATAAGTAGTGTAATTTTGTATAAATTTAGATTCTAATATATTTGTAAAGTTTTACTGTTAGTTTCTATTTATAAGACATTTTCAAATATATATATATTAATTTTAAAGTATTGTTTCTATCCGTAATTATAAAATAATTCAAATACTAATTACATATAAAGCATTAAACGTGCCATGTAACATTTAAGGCGCAACTGAACTTAAAACTCTGTAAATATTCTTTGAACAGAACTAATGCCGTCATTTTTGTACAAGTTTGTTGGAGGTAGCCAGCCAGCTGTTTAATTTTCTCACAACAATGACACTACAATGCTTTTACACATAATACGTTTGCCTACTACCCTTCGTGATTAGCTATGGTTAGTACTTGAGACGTAATGATTTTTAATCTATGCAATTACTTTGTTATTCTACAAATGACAGTTGATATAAAAAAATACCTGTCAACTCTTATCAAGGTTTTTATAATTTGCACTTGAAAAGTTTTAAGACATTATAAATAATTTGTACATTGAAAGTACTTCTAAGGCGATAACATTATCAAAGTTTTTACTGTTATCAGTGTGTAATAATACTTGCTATTGAGTAACAGAAGGAAGTTTTCTTTACAGTGAAAAGATGGCTTTATCAAAACCTATTATGAATCTCGTAGCTTCATATTTACAAAATCTATACTTGCATCCGATTAAGACGAAATCTATCACAAGGTAATGGTGACTTCTGTGTAAATTCTGTTGAGTAGTAATTTTCCTGTTTGTCAGGATACCTGACCTGAACCTTTTTTAGTTGTGTTGTAGGCTGTGCTGGAAGTATTGCATCACAGGTTGTTGCTGGGGAGAGGTTGAAAGTAGATCCAATTCTGGCCTTTGGACTTTACGGGTAAGTCTGACCTTGGGCTTGTTCGCCTAAATTTAAATAACTACATTTTTATACAAGAAAATACTATTAATAGAATTTATGTTATATGTTGTTGTGTACATGTTATCAGCATGCTAATAAACATATATGTACATTTACTTTTAAGAACAGTGTGATTCCTGTCTGCATTGTAAAAGATAAAACTTAACAACCTCTGGCGCATCAATAATTTAAATTAAGCCTTTATAAAATATGAATATTAAATTATGAGATAATTGTGTTTCATTTTTTAATGCTCTAGTAGTAACTAGTTTCTTTATTTTTCTATATTATACTAATGCATTAGTGCAAAGATCAAACAAAAATAGTACAACAAATATGTACTTTTATTTATGGAGTTCTCCACCAATTTTCCTTTTATGAAGGACATTGGGTTACAATACTTCCTTATATGTAACATTTTATGCAATTTATTTCGGAATGTGAAGTAGTAATGGTATTATTTCAGATTAATTTTTGGTGGGACCATCCCACATTACTTCTACGAGCTTATTGAAAGACTGTTTCCACATGAAGCGACAGCATTCCCTCTGGCTAAAAAGCTAATTTTTGAAAGACTAATCATTGCACCTATTATGCAAGCGTTTTCCTTGTATACGCTAGCCCGATTCGAAGGCAAAACCCATAAGGCAGCAGTGAAACAGTTGTACACACTCTATTTGACTGTCTTAGAAGCCAATTGGAAATGGCTCACATTATTCCAAGTTATCAACCTAGCATTTATTCCACCCATGGTAAGTTTATTGGGGTCATGAGGTTATAATTTGTAATAAAACGAATTGACGACATGTTTTCATAGCTGATAATACATGGTTCTTGATTATTATAATTGTGTTAACACGATTTTTGTTGTTGTGTGTGTGGCTCAAGTATAACACCATTTTTGTTAGTAAGCACAAACAAATACATTTTGGAATTAAGAACCCACAACTTGTAATAGAATAAAAATTATAATTTGGATGTTATATTTTTCAAGAACTTAATTACAATTTTATAGCTTGTTTTAAAGGTCTCTTTATCTATGTGTCATAATTGTAAATTTTATCTCAGCAGATAAAAATACATTACACAATAATAATAATAGTATGTTATGGGTAAATGATATTTTTTTAGGACAAATACATTAAGATTAAATATTAATGATTTTCCTTATGTGAAATATTGCATTTAGTTTCCTGTTTTTGTATAAGTTACATATATAGTCTATATTTGTATCTTAAATTTTATAACTTTTTATTCCAGCTCCGAGTTCTCTTCATGAATTTTGTAGGCTTCGGTTGGGCAATGTTCATCGCGTCAAAAAGAAGACAAAGTAACAAGAAGGAATCACCCTAATTGTGCTTTTATAGATATCAAACAAATATATTATGCAACGATACAGTTGAAGATAAGGCCAACAAAAAAATATTGCATTTATACATTTGTTTTCTAGTAAGCAAAACAATTTTCACAAATCGTAGGTTTTTGTCATTTTTAATCCGATATTAATATCTTATCTATAAGCAAAATGTTGACCTTGCTGCTTATATTTTTGTTTACATATCGGTGATGGATTTTTGGTGCAAGGAGAATTTTTATAGCATCATTTGGTCATTTGAATATTTTTTTTACTTTTAGTGGTATTTTTAAAGTTAAATATTATTTACATTATATTTTAATAAAAATAAAATTGATGTTACAAAATGCTCAGATAGACCTATGTATAGTATTAATAGTGTATGTATTAATAATTTCATAAACGAGCATTGAATGATATTAGAATTTTTTGTTTCTTGAAAAATCCATTTGTACATATCAATTAGTTAACGATAATGAATTTAACGTGATATATACACATTATATGCTTAATTGTAAAATAAGCATTCCAATAAATATGACGTGTTATAAATAATATTTTTACTATCGGCGTTTCGGTAAACAAATATAGTCTTTCCTAATAAGATGTGATAATTTGGGAGTTATTCCTTATCATTTGCCAAACAGGTTTCATTTGTTTTTCGAGCGCCGAAAGCATGTCTGAGGGTTAGGTGTTAAGCGAGAGATATTAGTAAAAAAAGCATTCGATTAGTAAATTATTTTTATTAAAGACATCTTTTGTATATTCGGTTTATGGGTTGACCAATACATGTTATAATCAACGTTTTGATTTTTCTATGTTTATAATAAAATTATTTTAATAGATGAGTATTTTTTGTGACGCACTTGTTTAGTATTGCTTGTTACACGAGGCATCGGATCGCGAGAAAATGAAAATGCATAGTAAAGCAAAGCTTTATGAGATCAGCTTTCAAAATAAAATTAATATTAGGAATCTTCTTCTCAATTTACATCTAACAATCCGATACCTTATAATTTTTCTTAAAATCACGAGTTTTAATACATACATTCCAAATTGTCCTTTTAAATATTGGACTCCGTTTATATTAAGAGTTTTGTTAAAAACCTTTTTTTTATTTCTATTATCCCTTGGTGTTATGAGTGTTTAGCATTCCATTATTAAACCAGTTTCCGTGGTATTAAATATCAGTAGAGATTCTATTCACTTAATTTTCTTATCACAACTAACTAACTAACTTAACATTTCCACCGTGGATGACTAGTTACAGAAAACACTGTCAATAAATATATTGCACATTATTCTATCTTAAGAGTATTATTGTATCGAGTATGGTGCATTTCCTAATCTAAAAATAATATTATCAACAATAAAAAAAATAACATGAAAAATAAATCGTTTCCGAATAAGTTAGGTTAAAATAAATTAGTATTATATTTGACTAGATCTTATATAGAGACTAGAATTTGTAAAATTATTGATGTAGTGAACGATGCAAGGTAATTAAGTTTTGTCTCTGTCATTTATTTATGAAATGACATACGCGCGATAAAGAAATGTATAACGTAAGTCTACGACTATTGACTTTTGGTCACTGGGCATCCTTCACTACAATCGCTCGCACGACTGTTTCTTCTCCTAAATCCCTCTAAAAGAAACTCAACGCAGTCTCATATTTTCTACTATTCAGATTCACCACATTCCTGTACAATGGCCGTAAGCGAAAATTTATGAGGTCAATTTAACAAGATTAACGTATAACATTGATAATGTATCATTCTCGTTTTAATGTAGCCAAGACGGTTAATAGACGTGCCCCAAGCCAGTATGACTACAAATCTTTTTTATATATTGGAATGGGGTATTTTAGGGAGGCCTAGAGAAAACTCAAGAGATGGGGCAGTACAAACAATTAAGCCAACGGTCGTCATTTACATAAAAATAAACGTCCAATAGTAAAACGAGTAAGAAACAGCCCTGCACTATCGAGATCAAAACAGAATTGTACTATTCAGGCCGCGGTGACTGCGACCAGCTTCGTTCAGACGATCTGCTGCTGTATTCACTTCCACTAGATGGCGTTGATGGCGTAGGCCTCCGGTAGGGTATTGGGCGTTTACGTGCACTGTATTGGTTAATATATGTTAGTCAGTTAGTTCCACTACATGCGTCAGGCATTGTACAGGCAGACCTCTTTGCTTAAATAGTCTTGAACAAGTATGAATTTATTTAGGGCAGTGAAGAGAGATTGAAAAAAAAAACTGTTTTTAATGCATTTTAATTGTTATAAGCATGTATTCAAACAAAGAGGCAAATTTAATTAATACAATTAGCGTAATTGAAGGATGCTTACCTTGACAATCGAAGCCTTATCTAGCGTTACAGGAACAAAAGAAAATCATTTTAAATTTCACTAGAGTGTATAAAAAAGCACGATCGCTACCATGCAAGAAAATAAAAATAAAAACGAAAATAATTTCACAATAAACTTTAATGTAACACGAATAAGGTGAACAAAAAAAACACACTAATGTCCGTAGAATAGCACAATTTTTACATCTGGCAACACTGTCACTTTTCCCTATCTTATAAATAATTACGTAGTCATCTCCTTCTGTATTTGTATTTCTTGGAAGAGTAAGTTACATCTATTATGGGCGCGCTAGAGGAAGAAATAAGGCTATTAAACTCTCATTTATATTACAAGGACAATATCATTTCAGCAAACATTACGAGATCAAAATACATGTATTTACATTAATAAGAAGTTAACACATCACTCGGAATCACACATTAGGTAGGAAATGTATTTGTTAGACAATGTACCGCCGTAAAGCAGAAAAATGGTCAGGTGTTTAATTAAAATCGGATAGACATATTGGTTAAATATATACAGAGTGACTTATTCTCACATCGTTGTTAATCATTATTATTGTATAAAATGCTCTTATTGTTGTTAAAATTCCTTAAGCTACAGAGTTCACCCACTACTAGACGAGTCTTCGGAACTGGTGCTATATTTGCGCGACTTTTTTCTAAAAAGAAGAAAACGAAAAACGTGTGACAACAGCAAAAAAATATATAATGATATCATAATATTTTTAAGTACTCTACTAGATTTAAATAAAACACTTTAACGCTTTTAAACGCGATATATTAGTTAAACTTATTTGAAAATGATTTTTAACTTCGGCCCGACGTTTCGGATGCTTTGCTACAACGGGCTGTTGCAGACTCTACTAGATTTTTTTTTGGAACATTTAAATTTTGTGACAAAACACTTATTCATTTTTAATTGTTATCATGGCTGCTAGAATTTTAAATTAAAAAAAAAATATTATTCACGGGCGGGACTAGCCAATTGAGCTACCGTGTCCTACCCGTCATTTTTGAATTTCTTGTGCGCAAATATTGAATGTTTTCAAATGTTAAAATACAAAAATATATTACGATATCATATAGCATAACACTAGTTAGCAATAAACAAGCTGCACTCAAAAAAAAATGACACACTACATAACACTGACACTACACTTTAAAAAAAGTAATGTCTATGGTAGTAAAAGTGCGATGTATATTTATGGTTGCTCTTGCGATAATATTAATTGATATCTTGATCTTAAAAATCGATTTTAGATTTTTTTAATACACTGGACTTCAACCGGCATCCATAGCGTTATGTTGTAGCTTTAACCAATAGAGCTACCGAGTCCTACACGTCATCGTATCAACCTATCGATACTTGCAACTCTCGCGCAGGTAATCTGTTCAAGAATTATTCCATAATGGTTGTACAAAAAGCGGCGGGTCTAGTTTTTTTTCATATACTAGACGTTATTTTTATTTGTAACTATATGTAGCATTTTCTAGCAAATATAGATCAGATGAAGCCATCAAAAAATATCGGCAAGAGCAGCCGCGGTGCACACAAGTCACAGACAGGCCTCGGCTACCTCGTGATGCGTCTTCGATCGAGGAAGCTGGGCGAGCCGGCGCGCCGCGGGATCGACGGCGAACGCGACTTGGTGCGCGTGCGATCCGAGCTAGATCTGCGGTAATCCGCGTACACGCCCGTCATTGTTCTGTTATACGCACGCATGCAATGTACGTTCAACGGCCGCGTTCGAGGGAACCAAAATTACAATTTAGTTAGGTTCTTGCCTCTACTGGGATTCGAGTTTTATATATTTCTTACAATCGTACGGGGAACTGAACAGTATTAATACTAATCTTGAATCCGTTTAATCTGGTTTAATTTTAACGTTTGTTATAAAATACAGAAAAATAGTATTGAGTCCTATCATCAGTTATAATTTTTATGTATATTTTTCCTCTGGGCATATAACGAACACACTTCTGTATATATTACAGGCCTACTAACTACTCGCCTATAATACTATATTATAGTATTATAGGCGAGTAGTTGAGACTTATGTGTTCTGTTGTTTTCATAGGATTCGAACCCAGGATCTCTCGCGCCTAAGGCAACACGTTTAACGATTTGCGTAAAAATGAGGTTTATATTTTAAGAAAGTTAACATTTACCAATATCAAAAATTTGTATGTTTTAAAATCTCAACACATTTTTCAACTTATTATTACTGTCCGGAAGCCCCATTTACGATATTGTAGGACATACGTATATAACAACTTGTTGTTAGACGAATTTGTACGTTATTATATATAAAATAAAGAAGATTTTACAGTGGACTATTAGATTATACATGTTAACAATCCCAAGAAGACAATTACCTCGAAGAACGGGTCGAACGGGACGAGCTGCGCGATGAGCGGGAGGAGCTTCGACTGCTGTAAGAACTGGAGCGCGATGAACGAGACCTGAAGACATTAATTAATATAGATGATAGACATATGAAAAGACAAATAACTTCTTGTTGGTTGGGCTTATAATAACTTGGTAGACACCTACCGTGCCTAGCAAGTCATCTCTAAATTCAAGTGGTTAGAGCAGCAGCACGGAACTCTATGAATGCCGGTTCAATTGCTCGCTCGTGCTGTGTCGTAATTTTTCTTTCGGTTTGATCTTTAATTTCGAAAAATCAAATATCGATTTTAAGTAAGACACTTTTCAGGGTTTAAAACGCGAAATATATCAGTTGGCTTCGCAGCAGAAGAAACATCCAACCGTAGTTAAAATAATTTAAGCCATTAAAAGTGTTCTATTTAAATGTGTACTACTCGTATAAGCTACAGACAATAAAATCTAAATAAATCCAATCAAAGTTAAAAATATTAAAATTACCTCGATGACGAGTAAGATCGTGATCTTGACCGAGACGAACGTGACCGCGACCGCGATCGCGACCCCGATGGCGACCGCGACCGCGAAGATTTCACCCTGGACTTTGACCGCGACCGCGACTTTTTTCGTGACTTTGACAAGGACCGTGATTTTGACCTCGACTTGACCCTGGACTTCGACCGTGAACGGGATCTAGATCGAGACCGTGACGAGGCCCGCGACCAACTGCGCGACTTACTCTTTTTCTTTGACTCTCGTTCTTTGACTTTGGTGCTTTCCACTCGTAAAGGGCTTTCTTTCCTCAAACTGTCAATCTTCTTTGGACTAATTGGATTGGGAATCACCTCCTTTTCCAAATCCTTCGGAGACTTCTTTTCAATCTCCCATTCAAGTTTCTGTTCTGAGCGACCTTGTGATGTAGAAGGCGCGCTCATCTCTTCGAGCCGGTTGCGCTCAATCGTAGCTTTAGTGAGCTTCGCAAGCCGTTCCTTAAGCCTATCCAATTCCTTCATATTCAATTCCTCTTGGCGCGCGTGGAGTTCCATCCTGAGAAAATCATCTTCTGAATCTTCATTTTCGCTGGACGAACTCCTCATGCACACCGTTTTCGGTTTGTAGTCGTCCTTATTCTTCTTTTTCTTCGGCTGAAGATCTGATGGCGACTTAATATATTTTCTTTTGTCCTTCTCTGGAAGTTTCTCTATAATATCTCGATATCGCTCTGGGCTCCTTCTAGCAGGTGAATAACTAAGACTAGATGAACTCCTGCTCTTTGGATTTGAATGCGACTTCGATCGTTCTTTTTGAGATTCCTTGGTATCTTTATCATATTTGTCTTTAGGTTCAGCCGTTCGTTTGTCTTCTCGACGATCCGTTTTAGGGGATCTCCTATTCGGTGTAACACTCCTTTTGTTCTTCGACGTCTTAGTATATGGGGATGGAGATTTAAATTTACTCAAAGACTTTCTACGTTTCTCTTTGGTAGATCTGTGGTTTTCCACTGGAGAAAGCGATTTTCTCGTCGACTCGCTTCTCTGGTTCTTAGACTCATTAGATTTTGAATTGGGTTTGGATTCCTCTGATTTTCTCTCTACTTCACGTTGGTTTGAACTTTTTGTGGCGTATTCTTTTGAAGAGCTGCGTCTTTTTCGATACTTCGTCGGAGTCTCGCTTCTTTCCTTAAAAACAGGTTCCTTTGATACTTTGGAAACAGTACTCTGCCTTTGTCGCGGCAGCACTTCCACAACCGAATCGGGCGATTGAGATTTCTCTGGTCTTAAATCTTTATAATATCTTTCAGGACCTTTACGATCGTCTCTTTTATATCTATTATTTTTTGGAGAAGATTCCCTCGAAAGTTCTCTTTTGTCATAAGAGGGGCTTCTATGTCTCTTTCGTCTCTGGTCGTCGACTTCCTTTTCACTTCGCGATTCTTCATAACGATCGTTCTTACTTCTCTTGTCGTTGTTTTCTGGCTTCCTGCGTTCATATTTATTTGCCTGCTCGTTTCTTCTATTGTCTTTTTTTCTTCTGTAATCAGGTGATTCACTCCTGCTATTCCTTTTATTTTCATAAGATGTATCCCGACGATTTTTGTCATTATCTCTTCTAGAGGGTTCATCCTTCTTCGAGTCCCTTGCATAGTTATCTCTTTTGAAGTCTCTCTTGGAGTTCGTGTCGTCTCTTCTCGCATTAGAGTAATAGGAGTCTTCTTTTCTATTGGAGGGACTTCTACGTCGTCTTTTTTCTGGCGGTGGTGACTCCGTGGAGCCTCTCCGCCTTTCACGTTTATCGTATTTTTTTGATACAGTTTCATAGTCAGACGACGGAGAATTTCGCCGGTCGCGCCTCGAGTTATCTGTTGGTCTGTCCAAATCAAAATCGTCCTTGTCTATATTCTTTTTATTCTCTACTTTGTGGATGGAGGATTTTTGCCTTCTTTCGGGCGACTTCCGGTGATTTCTATCTCTGTCCGGTGAGGATTGTCTATCGTACGAGCGACTACGATCCCGTCGTTTATTGGACTCGTGTCTGTGATCGTCATATTTACTACTGCTGTCTTCGCGGTCACGGTGTTTTTTACGGCGGTCGCTATCATGTACCTCACTATGCTGCTCTCTTTGTTTATTTTTCTCACGCTTTTCAGGGGAGCTGTAATAAGTAATTTTTTAAAGTAATGTAACAACAAAATGTAAGTAGTAAATCTGTTATATAATTATTTTAACGAACCTCGCTCCATTAATTACGACGAATTAATAAATGTCAAGGATGAGTACTACATCCTTGACATTTATTATGTACGTTATAAGACGATAATATATTTAGCCACAATAAAAAGGTATTTAATTGATTTAGCAATTACCTTTCCCGACTCGAGGGCCGACTGCTGGAGCGACGTTTGCTGCTCGACTTTTTCTGTTTAAAAACCAAAATTAGCGCATTAGTATACGAACGAAGCGAGACGATCTAGAACACCAGTGCCAATACAAGAAGACTAGTGGTTATGGCAACTAAATATTCCACTATCGGAAATCCTTAAGCCACTCGTTTAGTCGCTGAAGAATTTCGTAAAAGAATACAAATAAAAACTCATATCATGCATCACTATGATATAAAACAAATCGGAGGCTTGAACTCATTTTCAAAAGTACATAAAAAGCTACTCACGAAAGCAGTTATTGGAAAAAAAATCGAATCCTTCAATATACATATTTTGAAATACAAAAAAAAATTCCATAACATCCTCGTTTCGAAAATAATATAGTAAAGAAAGAAGGGTGATATACAGGAATTGTTGGCACTAGTGCGTTTAGTTTAATTTACAACGATACTTCTAAATTAGTGACACATAACGTTACAATTGGTTAAATGTATTACACATTAAATGAAATATAAGACACATCGGGACGTACCTTATCGAACAAACGGTGGTGGTAACCATTTAAACATGTTGATCCTTAATTAGTTTTGTGACAATGAGAAGGGAGAATGTTATGGATTAGTTAACATCTTGAAATAATAAATTACGATAATACATTGGATGTGCGGTGCGAAAACGTGCAATGTCGACTTGGAAAATTTATTTTAGATAATATTTCATATGTTTTTTAAAATCAAGGTGTCAAGTATGAGTTTGATAGTTAATAATAATAAAAAAAATACTTTATTAATATTGATAAGACTTGTAGTACGTTATCATAGAGATATAAAAAAACTTAGATTCTTCTCATCTGCATTATAAAAGTAGTCACAACGCTACGACTACTGTTTTGTTTCAAGTCTACGAGTTTGAGAAAGAGACAGAATATCGCATTGGCATCGACAATTGACTTAAACGTCAAACTCATACTGCAGTTACAATTAGCAATTAGCATGAAGTCTTCTGTGTTTGATTCGGCAAAATCAGCCTTTTAGTTAAAAAATGCAAAAGCTCTTAAACAATTATACGATAGTAAGTGTCTGTACAGTGCACGTTTTGCGCTGCACATCCGATCGCGTAATACCACCATCTGTTTCATTACACATACTACAAACACCATGCATTACTTGTGCACTCTGTAGCCCTGCATCTCGCGCCCCCCATACACAACACCTATCATAGTTAGTCACAAAATGTATAACGATGCAACCTTAGGCATATTATTCACCTAACTGTGTTCTTACTGAGTGTTATTGTTTTGTGATATACTTACAGTATACTTTATTTCTTCAGATAAAGATGGCTATCCTATGAAATGATGCACAGTTAAACAGATAATTTTTACTGTCCATTTTCTTGTATTTACAAAATAAAATAAATAAAACAAAAGAGGGAGCACACGAAGACATTAAAATATGCAATGATCTCGCCGATGAGGGTAGATTGATAATTGTGGGCGGTCACAGCAATTGAGTTGAAAAGCTCGGGGATGTTTCGATGCAAACAGAAGATCTACTATTCTCAAGTTAAGGAGTGAAGGACGTCTCATATGTTTGTATTAAGCCCAAAATAATACAGAATGTGCTAAGTAGATTATACCAGGCCGGGGTGTTTTATAGTTTTGAGAAATAATAAAAAAAATAAAGCAAAGTGCTACATAGTCTATGGAGAATCTATAGCTGCTAGTAACAATCCTCTCATAGTTAGAACTAGACGAGTGTGTGATGTGAAACCTCAGTGTCAATTGACTTTCACTTCTATTCAAATATATGACAGAGATTCCCGATTTGAAGATAGCGTTCGAATTCGACAGGACAAAGCTATAGACACGAATCTTGGAGTCTCAAAGAATATTAATGTAAAACGAGTTTGTTATTCCAATACTCTGACGCTGCTAGTCATTTAATAATGAAATAAATACATACAATCTTTGTTGGGCTGGCCTATGATAGCAGCCTAATTTTGCTAACGAATTCTTGTTTGCAAATAAGATACGATAGTTTAGACACGATAGTTATTAAAAACTGATGCATTACCAGGAATATAACGAATGTGAGGGTAGTTTTAACATTACAACTTTCGTTCAGACTCCAATATAAGTCTAAAACTGTTAAATATGGACTAATTGAAACGTTATCTCCAAAATACCCAGTTGATAAGGCACCTATCCTTAACTGATAGATATATTCACCTTTTTCTTTTTCTTCTGTCGTTCGTCGTCGGTGCTTTCAGAGTCGCTGGCCTCGGAGCTGCTAGAAGATTCGGAATCGGATGATTTGGAGCGTTTCTTCTTTTTCTTGCTTGATTCATGCCTGGAATAAACATAATTAATAAGTCACTTTTATAATAGCTTGAAAATATTTTTTTCTTACAAATTTAATTGTTAGTGTCGATGTGAAACTAGAAAATACTAAATATATAATTTTTAATATGATGAACTTAATCTGCAATAAAATCGTACGACTGTCACGGTGTTATAATGAAAATAGATTTATTTATCGAAATTCTTTCTCTAATCATCAAAGGTCACTTAGACATTATAAATAACAACGGAAAAAAGCAAACAATTAAAAGCGGAAATGGATTTTGTACAACTGTGTGTTTTATAAAACACCTTTGTGTAACACAAGAACATCACGAGTTTAGGACAAGGCAATCCATTCATGCTTTCGGTTTCAAACAATTCGTCTTTAGAGTCGAGGTAGAGTTTTGTACAGGTACTGGTAAGCTTTGCAACCAGGCAAATGTTTCATATTTTGAATACCTATATAACGTTGTGCTAAAATTGTTGTAAAATATAAAACATTAAATCGTCGTTTCTAGTGACTGAAGCTGCTTCGTGTTAAACTTTAAATGGAGTAAATTCTAAATAAACTTTTTGGTTAAGAAATTAAGTACTGTAGATGTATGTATACTGTAGGTATATTGAGAAAATTCAAACCATACCTACGTATAAGCCGCCATAATATTTTCTTTTCGCTGAAATTTGCATTCATATTACAAAAAGTTAGGCTTGTCGATTACTTTTGATAAGTAGTTCTATGAAGGTACTTACTTTTGAGTCAGTTGCAATTTGACCTGTCTGAACACAGATTAAATGTTTTAACCGTCTTAATAAAACAATTCTATATAAACTAAACTTACTTCTCTTTCTTGTTCTTCTTTGACTTTTTCTTCTTGGACTTTTTAGGTTCTGGTGAAGTGCTGTAAATGTTAGGGGAGTCATGTTAGTTACCAGACAAAGTAGGAAATCTATTATTTATACTAATATATTCTGATAATATCGTAATCATAAAAGTCTAAAATAACTACACAATTAAGTAATACATAGGTTTTATTTTTCAATTCTCATCTTAATTTATTTAATTTTTTTACTAAACCAAACAATATAGTTCGCATAAATAATTTAGACGAATTGAATACTATTTTTGGATGTGACCAAGGTATAAATATTAGAGCTTTATTAGATTAATAAATGTATTATTTTAACTTTGTTGTTGTCGTCCAATAATTTATATCGACAACTAAGGACTAAAATGTTTCTGAAAATTAGTACCCGTTGTGATGTTCTAAACAAATATTTAGCATAAAACAAATATTTAAATTCAAAGTTTTATTGCTGGTGTTATAACTTAAAGTCAATACATTTTCCACTCGGGAACAAACAAAAAGTATATCTAATAATAGATTTGCAGCTGTTTAAACGCAAGCATTGTGGAAACAGGTATAATTCACGTGGCATATGCATGATTAACTACAGATTTCATATTAACAGAGTATTGAAAGTATATTGTATGATAAACAGCCTATTTGTGTCTATAGTAGGTATATAAGCTACAGTCTTGTATGCCACTTTATTTGATAAGTACTTAGTAATTGTGAAATATCATTATATACCTCCGCTTCTTCTTCTTCTTAGCGACGTGGGAATCACGCTGCTCCCGTTCGTGACTCGGGGTCCTCACGAGGGGGTACCTCTGTGCCTCCTCGCGCGCCCTTCTTTCCGGGTCAAGACTCGTCCCCTCCACAAATCTAGGGGATATGCCGAACGCGTCGCGCAGCCTCGCGTTCTTCTCTTGTTGTGCTTCAGCTACGGCGTGTGTTTCACGTACACTGGAGGGGTTTAATCATATTTAAACAAAATTATAGCTAAATAAAATCTTCTGTAATTGATCTAGATTCCAGATGATCTACTTTAGACAAGTTGCAAGCGTTATCTGTTTTGTTATCTGCAAAAACAATTGCCACTATGTTATCGAGAATTATTCTTAACGTGAGTCAAATTTAATTTTTGTATTCCATGGGAGACTTACGCCACTTATACTTAAGACCTCTTCCTTAGGCCTCGCTCTAAGATTTAACAATATAAAAGTAGTCATATCTAGTCTAAATTTATTTATCAGCTGATATAAAGTAATTGCATTTTTTCCAACCACGTCTGGTTTGCTTTAAATATCAAGCAGCTGTCTAGATACATGAATAGAAGTATTGTTTTAACCCAAAACAAATGTTTTAACCTTGATTATGCGCACAATCTCAAGTCATATTGTTTCTTCATTAGCAAACTGTACAAATTAACGGAACAAATGCCATTTACCTGAACTGCACCAACTGTGCTAAAAACGGAGGGAATTGGAAAATTAATTACTATCGTAAAATAAAATCGATAAGCATACGATATGCGATGCGAAAGCCGTAAACGACCTTTGTTAGCTGCGGCCGAGTGTAAAATCCTTTTGCAACACAATTAACTGGAGACCGCGTTCAATTAATTCGCGACCTAAATAAGTGAACTTAGACCAAATCGATAAACGCACCTTATAACGGAGCGGAGGTTCTTCCTCTCCTCGGTGGAGGGACAGACCTGCAAATTGTTAATGTGATTGCGACCAGAGCAAGTGCAACGACAACAGCAGTTGTTCCTAAAGCACGCCGCTAGGATCGTTCGTATCGCGGGCTCGAGCGAATCGGCCATGTTGCACGCGCCGTGCCCCGGATTGGGGGTCGACATGTCCGGATTGGGGTCGTGTGAGGAGGCTCTGAGCCGCGGGGGTCTCGCCAGAACGGCTTGGAACGTGCCCCGCCAGAGTCTTTCGAATACGATCCTGTTCTGTTCGCGTCGCGACACACGATCGCCATGCATCTTAATCTACTTAAGCTAATGGAAGACTTGGTTACTTAAAGCTAGGTGTGGAAGACGTTCAAGGCATGGGCCGTGCGGCTACATCGCGATGAGCGGCCGGGGTCGGGCCGGCGGCGCTACTGGGGAAATAACAGGATGTACGGCGACGCGCGCACCCTGCGCAAACCTTCTCGGAGCGATTTAATGGGAGCCCTATTATGAGGTGACGCCGAGCGTACCCACGGATGCGAAGAATGTTTAGCAATTTTCGAATGAAAATTCTTTAACGTAGTTGGCATTTGTTTTATTTTAAGCAGCTATATAAATAGTGGAGTTATTTCGGCATCAGTCGCCAACACTGGATTCGTCGTTTTGTGCAATAATTTAAATAAAATGTTCTATACCTTTTCACGCGTCTTTATTCGGTGTTAGCTGTTAGTTGCATATTTTGAATTCCCTATTTTTAAAAGGCAGGTAAATTTTGTAAGTCGTTTATAAGATTTTATTAATTCGAAGTCCAATTATAAATCCATGCAGATTGAAAAAAAAATACGATACGCACGCACTTGAACTAGCTCCACAACGTTCCGTGCTCTCTCTAACCCATTGATGAACCAATTGCCAACAGATGAAAAATATTACAGTTTTCAAACATATTTCTAACGGTATCGTAAGTTTTCCACGATCCAAAATCATTAACTTAATTAAAATAATTCGTATTTTAAACAATTTACATTTTTAAATAAAACACTTTAACGGTTTAAAACGCGATATATTAGTTAAACTTATTTGAAAATGATTTTTAACTTCGGCCCGACGTTTCGGATACTTTGCAGCAGCCGTGGTCACGGGGAGGCTAGAGATGGAGGATGTCTCTGACGTCAAAGTAAAAATTTCTAGACTGCAAAGCATCCGCTCTACAACTCAACTCGGGTAAACTATAGACAGTATTTAATTTACATTTTTTCTATATTAAGGACATTCATAATCTTCATTCTAATAAAAGCGTTGAACATCTACTTTCCTTGCAGATTTAATCCTGCAATTTTCTGTCCATGAATTTTGAAGTGTTAGAATGATTCCAGTGTTACACTGTACCATAATTAACGCTTAAATAAGCTTTCTATATATCTAAATCAATTTTAGATAGGCGCAACCGTTATATTTTCGCCGACGCGAATCGATTTAGTCCAGCTATTATTACTATCGGAAACTACATGGTGTAATGTACTTGTAATGCAAACGTTGTTTTATATATTTTAGATCATAACAAGAAACTAATAGAACAATTTCATGTTCGTATAAGTTATTGGTGTTCATGCGCACATTTAATGGTTACAAACGCGAAATGTTTAGATGTTTTCGATACTTTATTTATTAAACGCGATTTAAAATAAATTACCTTCAATATACTGCTTTTAAGACCGTTACAATTATAATATTATGGAATGTGTTTTACTCGAGAAAACTACAATTTTTCATTGAATTTTAAATCAAGTGTCATTTCTTAATGTAATTCTCCAAAAAGTTATAACTCAACATAAATTCTATTTGATTAAATCTTACCACTAAAATATTCTGGTTACCAGTTGTAAAAAATCAAAATATCTTAACTTCTACTATCCCTTTAAACAATATTTCTAGGCGCCCACCTAAATCAGAGAGTATGATGAAATTTAAATGTTGAAAATAAGATTTCTTGTAAACAATAAACAACAACAATAAGTTTGCAACTGTAGCTCTATGTGTTAGAATTAGTATTACGTAGGTATACGGAATAAATATATCTCTATATGGCACGTGGATATACAATCGAATGAAACCATAAAAACGTTAAACCATAGTTCTATCTGGGATTAACCTATCTCTTGCGCACTATTACGTACGACTGTTTGAGGAAAGCACAAAACTTTCGAAATTCAAAATGTTTATGTATATTATTATTACAAGGTGCGGTGTCACGCTAACGATTACACACTGTTTTACTGAAAAAGGTGACAGATTCGTTTCCTGCTTGGATAAACGACAAAGAGTCAAAGAAAATTAATAAAATGATATGCAAAGTTATTAGGACTAGAAATATACACTAATATTACAAAGCTGAAAAGTTTGTTTGTTTGAACGTGCTAATCTTAAAGGGGACTGGTTCGATTTGAAAAAATATTGTGTTGGATAGAACATTTATCCAGAACGGCTTTAGGCAATAATAATATAATATCGGGCGATAAGTAAGTCTATCTTATAAGATAGAGTTGCAGGAACGACAGGCCGGACGACGTAGTAGGTAACAGCTATTAGTAAATAACATAAAATAAACTTAACGTTACCTTGATCTAATTGAGACTATTTTAGCAAGAAGAGGAATTATACAAGTTATTCAATTAATTCGGAAAACTTATGAAAAAAAAATTGTATCGTAGTTTCTCTGAATATAAACAATCTGAAGTGCGTCACTGATAAATAAAATGAAGTTGTGCATGTAACCATGGTAACCGGCAGAAAATTGAAATATTGAGTTAGGTCACTTTCAAAATAAGCGGCTCAGATATAAGTTTTCTAACTCAAACTTCATCAATGAATATATAATACAGGGTCCTATCCTAGCTTTTCGAAACAAACAAAAAGACACCACTACTGTTTTTAAAGGCCGCTAAATTTATAATAAGTCCGCGTAAAGTTGTTTTGAAACGCGTCATTCTTGACCATTCACATAAACAATATATTCTATACCTATTGTCAGAAATCTTTAAACAAGTAGCTAGACTAGACGGGTAGACGTAAATAAACAAATGAACTATCTAAAACGGTATTGTGAAATCCAAATTAAAAGACGAAACGTTTATAATCGCTGTTGTATACGTTTCTATTTGAAGATCATATTTTGGTCTTTTTTATAAATTCGTATTAAATAAGGCATGAGCCTAAGCGTTATTTTGAAATAACTAAAAGGTCGAAATGTACATTGTATCGGCTCGTTGGTGTAATGGATTGATTGCTCTATTCTAATCAACTGGTTGTTTCTGAATATCGAAAGACATAATAGGCCAACAGCACATATCATTTAGATGATATATGGCTGGACTATTTACCTACTATCTAGTGAGTCCCATGCTTGTCTGTTCTCCTTTATCATAAAGAAAATATTCAATGTAGTTAATCATACGGAACCCTCTGTTGAAGAGCCTAAACTTGGCCAAACTGATGGTCTTCCGTTACAATGACAAACACACATCGGTGAAAATAAGCGATTCAAATATTTTGGCAAATGTATCATTTCCAGACGGCTAAATGCGGATTCTGGATTGATACGCGCAGTTGCCAAAAGTAACGTTCATTTCTCTATCTTTAGCTAATCACAACAGACCGCAGTGTATCGGTACGGCCCGACGCCTGCCAAATCTATTAATTTTAATGGACATTTCGCTATAATAAACGGTTGTCTAATCTATAATTATATTGTGCATTTGTAAATCATATTAACGCGATGTTCATTGGCTATCGCATACCATACAAACATAAGCGTGACGTATGTAGTACATGTAAGTTATCATACTTCTTGTAAATAAAAGAGTTTGAAACGCGTAATATATTACCTCACTTATTTTTAACTACGACCTGACCTTTCCGATGCATTGCAGCAACCGTGGTGTTTATTACCTATTTATGTTGTTTTATATTAGATTTTTTTATAGACTAAACGATAGCCAGATAGTATAGTATATAATAATAATATTAAACATAGTTTGACTGATTGATTGTTGTCTTCAGCTGCCAAATTCTCCAAGAATATTTCATCTATCTCAACGTCTCTTACATATAACAAGGGTTCAACCAATGTCGCAACAAACATGGCTTTCTCGTAGCATATCATTTCGAAATCATCTCTCGGCTAAATTGAATTATTAAAATTATTATAATGAAGACTGTACTTTGTACTATGCACAGACTGATGTCAAATTACTGTTTGCGTGACACACATTTGTTAATTATAAAATGTTTATTAGGAAATATGGTCAAATGTAGATTTTGCTGAGCAGAAATTAATTATAGCCTCGCGTGACTTTGCAATTTTAACGAGACATGACATAGGCGGTCGACAACAAATGCTGAAGATATTATAACGTAAATTTAAGGCTGAAATTCACAAAATACCTAATGTCTGTAGCTAGAATAGATATTGTTCACGTGTTTACATATTATCGTGTGTGCATTTGGGTTTATCAAGTAGTATATCACATTTTACAGGTTTAGAATTTGTAAGAAAAAAATCGATGATGACGTGTAGATCACGGTTGCTTGATTGGTTCAAGCAACAGCACGGATTACTGTGGGTGCCGGTTCAAATCCTGCCCGTGTCGTAATTTTTTTAATTCTCAAATCGATCTTTAATTTACACAGTGCCATCATGTGCAATAGTATGTGAAAAATGTTTTGAATTATAATTTTACATTACGCCATTTTCTCACGATAGCAAAAACATCGGACATACTATATTATATGTTCAAATCACCATAAATTTGTAATTACAAAATATAGCACAGCTATTTGACATAACCCGTAAAACATGTTACGTTAGCATAAAAACAATCTGCCGGCGACGTGTTATAACTTTTGTCCCAGTAATTTATTTACCCCATTGTCCAACGAAAGGGGACCCTTTGACGTAACAGAGTCCTGCCTCCCTCTAACAGGGATGGGGTGTCACGCAGCACGATCGATATGTTCCCTGAATCAAGGCTATAATCGCAAAAGACAATGTACTTGACGGATGATCAACGCTGGTATACTTAATATATTCAGCACATACAGTATAACATATATATATGTATGTATATAAGTTCGATTATTTGAAATTTAACTTAATATAAAGCAATGAGAGTAGCGAGCTTTTAGACATTTAGTTTGGGATATTAGGAAAGTATATTTATGCCTTATTGATATTAACTATTGACATGCACTTACGGCATACGAAGCTAGTTAAAAAAATAGATACTATCCATTTGCGTTTAGTGTGTTTTAATTTTTCAATAATATAATTTTCGAACTGAAAAATCCTAACCTAAGATGAAAACCGTGCAATCAATTATCTTTGGAGATTATGAGCGTAATTGAAAATTTTCTTTGTGCAACGGATAAGACACAATAATACAAAATTTTACGGCGAAATTAGATTAAGAAATTGTGACTTTAATGCTAACTTTAAAAATAATTGGATATGGTCTACTTGAAACGAGAAGAAACAGATAAACCAACTTTATAATTGTGAATTAAACATAACTCTATTCTGTCAGAGAATTCCCAAGGTGTTCGGAGACTGTTTTGCTTTAAAAATAATGTAAAAGATTTACTAAAAGATAGTACAATAAAATATACAGCTTTCATTACTTCGGTTATAAAAAAAATATATAATAATGTGTATAAGATAGCTCAGAAAAGCTCTTTAAAAATCTAGATTGAGGACAACAAGAAAAGATTGTCGGGCGCCACTGTTGTTCGTCTAATTTTGAAAAACTCGAGGCTAACCTTGACATATAAAGCCGGGGTCTTAAGAATGCACCGCTTCCCTATAAAGATAATGTTTTGAGGTAAAGCGGGAGAAATACAAGAGATTTTTCTAAAGCCTATGAAGAACTATTTAGGCCAAAGTTAAAAATCATTTTTCAAATAAGTTTAACTAATATATCGCGTTTTAAACCGTTAAAAGTGTTTTATTGAAATTAACCTTATTAGCCGTACTATAAAATCATCAAACCTATTGATATTTTTGAAGTCCTTTTAAATAGAAGTTATTGCAGTGTGCTTGTTGATAGCTTTTAAATTATGATAATAATTGACCGAATATATAGAAATAGTTTTTTTTAAATCTCCAAAGCAATTTTCCACAATTTAATCCTTAAGATTTCGACATAGTACAATGTTAAACAAATCTAGCAAAATTACGTATTATCAATAATTCAGTTGAACAATCGCGGCTAAGAGGGCACTTCAAGAGATTGCCAACAGTTCTGAACTAAAAGGCTTTTCGAATGGCTTGTTTGAAAGCGTAATGGACGTACAGTGGGAATCTCAAATAGTCGTCGACGCAAAACGTGGGTTTTAAAAACTAACACTTTTAAAAATCCGTCGTAGGACATTCTAAGTTTGAATGTCAATTATGAAAATTTATTTTGGTTTCAAGGTACAGCACAGTGGCAATTTAAGTAAGACTTTTTAAATACTATTAACAACATTATATTTATAGTAGCGTTTTGTTCAAAAATCACAAATATTTTTAGCACTATGAGCTAATCACAGAACAGCCGATAAGGTAAAGACATTTGTAATTATTGTTTAAGGAAAATATACAGGTGGAAATTTTTGTTACCATCTTGCGTAGAGCTGAAATGTATGTAACAAATTTGTAAGGACATTTTAAGCTGTTCAAAGTTTAATAATTCAAGTAGTCCTAGAAAACGTTAATGTTTTTCACATATTGTTGCTCGGTAGCTCAATTGGTAGAGCAACAGCACGGAACGCTGACGATGCCGGTTTTAGTTCTGCCGGAGTCGATTTTTTGTCGAGTACAAAGTTATTTTACGACATTACAACAGAATTTTCATATCGTAAAATATAAAACTTTTATATTACTCTAAAACCTATAACGACCACACTCGTGCAATTTTATTCAGTACAGTAATTTATTGCCGCTACTTTAGTTTCGTTCAACGTAGATCCATAAAATCTGACTCGTTACTTGTAAAACCTAACAAAAATATACAATCAGAACGATAGCTTATACTATAGGCACGTCAGCATAATATGTTGCTATAGTTGTTTTATTTATGAATTATAGCTTTATTATTTATAAAAGTACGTAGGTACTAACTTATAAATAAAAGGTGGCCTTATCGCTAAAGAACCATCTCTTAACTTGAAGTACAGGAGAAAATGAATAAAAAAGACCTTATAAGTAGGTGTACGGAATAGCAAACAAAAAAGTGTACGTAGGAGAGAACTAATTTATGAAGCCAAAGTCTTAAAAGAACGGAGAGATCGAGCTTTTCTGATATTACTGGGGAGAGAGTATACTAATGCTATCCACTATAGTATTGTCTATAAGAATACTATAAGGTTGACGAGTTTGTTTTTTCAAACGAAATAATCTCAGAAATTATAATTTCATTTTGCGATTCCTTAAAGTTATTATTTAAGGTAGCCTGTAGCTTCTATAAAGTTAGATAAGATCAAGATAACATTAACAAATTATTTTGATACCATATTCTGGGACAGCAATAATTCCTTATGAGTGCACCCGTTGTGCGCGCACGCTACTTAGTTACCAACATCATTTAGGTATAAGATTTTTTTAAATTTGATTTGATTGAGTATTTTATACAGTAGGTATGCTTCAATTTTGACGTAATGTCTCCTTTAGGATCTAGGAGTATCTAGTGCTATATACTTACGCTACTCTCCCATACTCGTCCTTAGGCAGGTCCTTCTCGGTGCTGGCTTCTGACAACTTCGCTCTGAAGGCCGCCACTCTAGCCGCTATTTCCTCCTTCGGCAACCTGCGCAGCCACACCAACGACACGCTCATTATAACAAACTCTTTACATTGACATAACAAAAAACTATACTCTTTAGATTAGTTGACAAAGTCTAATTTCGAATCGACACAGATAAATCATCGCGCTAATTCGCAAACAAGATTTACGTAGCCTCGCAGCGAACAAACGGTGCGTAATGAAATCTTAAAAATAAATTCTCGGTAAGCGTTTATTTCTCACCACACCTGAACCTACCAATGCATGGCGCGGTGTTGTAATCGCGAAATTACTTCAGAAACAATAAAATATCCGATAAGGCTGTCATGACGCGCGTGTGTAAACTGAACGGGTAGTTTAGAATGCTAAGGGTGCAACGCTCCGCTGAATTATTGATTGGACTCGTGCGCAGGGGTATTGCCCCCGATAGAGGGTGGCCTATTGTAATTGAATCTTTGGGGGAGTGGTATAGGAAATCATTGACACAAGTGCATAGGCACATTTTTAATAGAAACTGGGGACAGAGGGTTCTTTGTAGCTTGTTGCGTAAGAACAACATAATATGATGACAAACTTTTTGAGGTTTTCGAGCTATTCGTTAGCCGTCGTCATTGAGCACAATATCTCGTTAACTACGGCCGAACAGCAAGTACAACAATGGCTTTTTTGGCCATAACAGTAGTGGTACTAATAAGTAATATGTATTTTTATATAACACAGCTTTTCTTAGATACCACACCAAATCTCAGTAAAAAGAAAAGGATTGTATTTTAAAATACAATTATAACATAATGGTTTCTAGGAAGTGTGAAATTCTATTTCAGATTGAAAGCCATCCTTTCGCGGAATATAGGTCAATGTTATTTACTACCTATATTGTCACTTGTTATGTTTAAAAACAGTTGCGTCACAGAAATATTGCTAATAGGCAATAATTATTCATTGTACGAGTATTATACGCGCGAAATTTACGATTAGTATTATTTAGTCAAAAGGCTTACAGAAGGGTACAATGAATTATCTAGAAATATGTTTTATATTTCCATTTATTTAATGTATTTAAAAAAAACAGGAAATCAGAAATTTAAGTAAAAATACCCCCGTACTTTTAATTTAAGGAAATTAAGATTATTGTTTAATATTATTTATTTGGTTATGATGCAGAAGATTTTTTAAAATAAGGAACCCACAAAAAAATATTTCAGATTCTAAAAGTATAATTATTATAAATTATCTCCCTCATAGCTTACAAAGTTGCCAGAGATTTTTCCCTAATGATTATTGGATTTAATTTTCTTGACAGAAATGATTCTCAATATAGAGGTGTTAGCTAACTAAGCGCATGTGTATTTTGTGATAACTGAGTAGCATAAATAATAATGTGCCAACTACCAAGCATAATTAATATGTAAATTGCAAATGAGCAAACTAAACACAACATAGCTGGACCGATATTCATTTCTAAATAAAGGAAATATCATACATTAAAAACAATAATGGAATTATGTTATCTGTAAAAAGAAAAAAATAAATATTTTTATAATAATAATGGAGGGATAAGGCAATATTAATTAGTAACTAAGAGCTGTTATTATCAATTTTATGCTGGTCTAAGTTTTAATAGTTGATATTGAAAAATCTATATTTGTTGTAAAAAGAAATCCTATTAACATATTATAGCTAGATAAAATATATTAAGGGCTTCTAAAGCAATCATAAGTAATTAATATCATTAGAAATTATTTTAAATTCTCAACAACAACAAAATCTCCCCACTACTTATCAAACAGGTAAAAGAAAATAAATTATAACTGTGTTTGTATATTTCTCTCATAATGCTATTCTAATCTTAAAGATGATAAACAGTATTTTACTATACATATATCTTCCACTACTACTGCCATTGAGGGCAATTTTTTTGGAAATATGTGGTACCTATCAATAATTAAAATTGGTACATGCTAACCTCAAAATAATTTATTGATTGGTTTAAATTATAAAACCACAACTTACCCCTGTTCTTCTAACTTGTCTTCTAACTCAGTGCATTTAACCTCTATCTTCCGCTTTCTCTCGTGGTCCAAAATCTCCCTGTTGGGCTGTTTATTTGATGCCGAGTCCAATTTGGCTATTTCTTCCTCTGTCCGATAATTTACAGAATCTTTCGTTCTTCTCACGGATGCCCAGTTCCTCTGTACATATCCATTCGTCCCAGACCCTCTAGGGGTCTGTAGACCGATGCCGTTGTACATCTTGTCAGAGATTTTTCTGTAAACGCATTAATTGAATAGAAAAACTGAAAACGATTACGTGCACAACAAAAAAAATAGTATACGCATTCACTGCTATTATGTTGATTTTTTCAATGATGTATCATATATTTTAACGAAATATTATTTAGGTCAATTTTTTAATATCTCACCAATAACATATAAAATGGAGTTTCTTTTTACACTTATACACCTATTAACACACGTCCATTTTGATAGAACTTTTGATTTTTTTCACAAGAATAGTGATGTGTGTCATCTATTGACTTTCGACTTCTTTGAGTTAGTAAACTATCGATCTTTATAAATATACTATTTACATACGAAAATCATTTATTTAATAAAATTATTATTTTTCTTTAATTAGAGCAATAGTTCAAATCAAATTTGACATAAACCATATTTTTATAAAAACCGGTATTTCGTTTAAGGTGATCCGTAGATAAACATTATCTGTATATTCACTTGTCATTTTAAATCGACAAGTTAAAAAAAAGGTAGCAATCTGTAGTAAGTCGTAACAAAACAAGCCAAAACAAGATATTGCTTCTAAAATTGGTTTATTGTTATTAATTTTATGGTGACCCTTTGTAAATTTAGTATTTATTTCTTTATCAATAGATTACCGATAAAATGCTTGATAAAATTTTATACAACACTGTACTTTGTCAGACATTTTCTCCATGTGGTAAATATTTAGTTGCCGGCAATATTTACGGACAGCTAGCGGTATTTGAGTAAGCATAATATTTAAGAATATCAACCATCAGTGTTCTTTTAAATTACGAAATGATTAACTTTTACTATGTACACTCTAATTCTATCCTAATAGTGGTCCTATTCAGAATTTTCAGTTTGGGCTGCATATTAAACCCAAACACGACTATACTATATTTCAAAATATTACAGATTAACCTCGTAAGAGACATCTTTCTTCCATTCTTTCTCTCAACAGACAGACACAAATATCCGACTTAATAGACATCACACACCAATAAATGACTTTATTAAGGAGTATAAAAAAGCTGCGTCTTTATTTCTTTAATAATTATTTTCTTATAGTGTTTCTATTCTCAATTTTCAGTTTGGACTGCATATTAAACCCAAACACAGAATTGTTGACTCCAGGCTATAATAGTCCTAAACACATCCATAAAATTGAGTCGTCAAGCCAGATCTGTAGTCTTGCAAGCACAGACAGGTTTTTAATAGTAGGCAGTGTTAATGAAATCTATGGATGGACCTGGAAAGCCATTCTGAATTCAAAACTGAGTAAACCATCATGGACCATAAAAATTAAATCAGAATCATTCATAGAGCAGTGCGATATTAACTGTCTATGGCTGTCTGAAGATTCAGAGAAATTGTATGCTGGTTGTGGAGATAACAAAGTATATGTTTTCAATTTGGAGGATGGCAGCTTAATGCAAACATTAGCTGGACATGAAAATTATGTTCATTGTATTCATGGACAGTATGTATTTTATATTCTTTCTTTGAGTACAAATAAAACCTACTTTCACCATTTTGTTTCTAAAATAATAATTCAATTTTACACAATACTGTTTATCAGTGACCGACAACTAATTTCTGCTGGCGAAGATGGTTTGGTTCTGCTATGGGATATCCGAACTGGCAAAGCTCAAAATGAAATAGAACCTCACAAGAACAGCAAAGTCGCTAGGCCTGATATTGGCAAGTGGGTTGGTGCTGCTGCATTAGGAGATGATTGGATTGTAAGTACATTTATAATAACTTATATAGTTGTTATGCCTCTATATAAATTTCACAAAAATTTTACAAGCAACAATTACACCAATGCTGTAGCCTACTAACACTTAAAATAAAAATGTATTAAATTGAAAAAAAACTATCCACCACATTTTGTGTAATATTTAACAATTATTTGGATTTCATTGAGTTTCCAAATACAGTTTAGAAGTGAGGTGTTGACGAGATTAAAAATATATAACAAAAAATAAGCAACAACATTATTTTTTATATACAAGTCTACATCAATGTTTATTAAATTACATAATTCCAAAATTATTTTTTTTAGGTATGCGGTGGTGGTCCAAGACTCGCATTGTGGCATCTAAGATCTCTTGATGCTGTAACAGTATTTGACATCCCTGATCATGGGATTCACATAGCTTCCTTCCTCGACGATTGTATTCTTGCTGGTGGTACAGCCAAGCATCTTTATCAGCTAACTTACTCGGGAGACATTAGAGTAGAACTACCAGTGTCGTCGACCACAGTCTACTCGGCTATAGTAAGAACGAATCCTAACAAAGTGTTAGCAATTGCTGGTTCTAGTCCAGACATAGATTTATGTACGACGTTTAATTATAGAGATCAAGTGTTGCACTTTAGATGAAAATTTAAATAAAAACTACAAAACCTTTAATGTATTCACTATTCATTTCTTCATCTTCTATAGTCTTTTTCATATCTCTTCTTCTTTCTGTAGTTGTTAATTATTATAAACTAATTATGAATTTAATACATTTAATTAAAAATAGAATAACAATAAAACAGTGTCTTACAATCTTAACTACTCACTATTTACTTTTTCACTATACTCAATGTAAAATAAAAATTTATTAATATATAATTATAAATAAAAAAGTTTCTGGACTGTTTTGGGTTACAGTACAAATTTTAATAAAAGATTAAGGAGACCTCTTTCTTTCATTAAACAGACAGGCACATATATAATGACTAAACATACATCAATGAATTATATATATATATATATTGTGATTATATTGAAGAGTTAGCTACTTTCATATTACTTTATGTATAATACATCTAAATATAGCCATGTCCAGTGATAGAAGCCGGTATAAAACCTTCGCTACCATCACGTTTCTTCACATAAAACCACTCACTGTCCACATCACTTTCTACCATCCCAGGAACTAAAGTCACGACATCACCCTTATAGACAGTCAATGTTTTGTTTAATGCACTCCCTATATAATCACTATTCACTACCAGTAATCTCCTACGCTCCAGAATATCAGCCGATTTAGTTTTTAAGTATAAGTGGTCAAAGTCCTTTTCCGCACACCGTTTGTATTCATTCCGTTTGTAACTGCATTCTGAGCGTGGTCTGCTGCGTAAATTCTCCTTTTCTGTATCTGTTAGGTTCCCGCATGGTTGAGGGTAGATATCTGTGCTGCTTTCCCAACATGGCGTCTTCTTTTGGAGGGAAGATCTGAAAATGTTGGTGGTTGAATTAAATAATTTGGTTACTTATCATTAAATATAATTATATGAAATGAAAATAAATAAATAACCGGTGGAGTTAATTAGGTAGTGGGAATAACGAAATTACGTCTGAGTCACGAACCATCGTGCACAAATCAAAAAGCCATCAGCTTTAATCGCGTTTCGGTTTCAATCTATGGATTTCCGAATATCCAAAGCAAAACTAACATAAACTGGACCTACAATTTTTACCTTGAAGGCAAAATACCCAAAGGAAGACACGCCGTGTACAGTACATAGCCTTCATCCCCATGAGGCGTCTGCGCATATAGCCATTGCTGGTTTTTAAACACCGCGTTCACAACTGTTCCTAGTGGCAGAGGTAGCTCGCGTTGTAAGTTCTTTTGCGTTTGGTACAGGGTGGTCGGAAACGCAATCACTACTGGTATGTTACCTGGGCGGTCTAATGTAGCCTGAAAAAAAGGTTCTTTTAATGTTGGTCATTATTTTCATTAAATTTTAGATAAATATGTTTCATATAAGACCATATTAAATAAACGACGATAATCGCTAGCTAGCCAGTACGTAGGTACAGTGTGTGTTAAAAATGTTTCATTTGTCAATTGTCTTGTTTTATTTATCTCATTGTATTTACAATATAGTAACGTATGGCAAATAATCAAAGGGTTCGATTTCCGAATATCCAAAGCCAAAGGTCGACAGTGCTTTCTGTTGGCTGAGGCATTTTCACCTTCCATCAAGTGTTTGCCATGCTTGTCTGCTCTCGTCTCTCATAAAAAATCTTAAGGACGTATTAATATCGTATGTTACGAAATAGCGAGCGTGTTTTGTTATTTTTCTTGAACATGTGTACTTGTAAAATCGAATATACAGCTTTTATTGTGCTATTCAGTTATTAAGGAGGCACATTACGTTTGCAAAACAAAATAATCGATGTTTAATTCAATACCACATAAGCTAATCGATTAAATAATTCTATACGCACGCGGATTTTCGTCGAATACTTAATTAATTAAAACCAAAAGTTTGTAATTAAAAACAGTATCATTATATTCCTGCGAAAAATCACATATACCACAAGGGTCGACCGAAACGTCCGTATAAAATTACACAGGATAATCTGTGGGCTCGCTAACCACGAAACGTAATATTAAAGCATCGATATTTTGCAAATAACAGCAATTTATGGCCTGCCCAAATTTGAACCAATTTCACGGCGAGTAAAAGCTTAAAGCAGCGTCACGTATAATGCATTAAATTCCATATATTTCATCGTTCAGTTACATGTTTCAATGGTTTTATACTGACAGATTATTATTACCCACGTTTGATAATTTATAAAGCAATAAATCAATTGACACGTACCTATATGTATATAAATTCGATTATTTCAACGAAATTCAATTATTTAAACAACAAAACTTTTCTCAATAATTTAGAAACAGGCTTGGGATTAGTAAAAACATAAATGAGCAAGTACGTGTATTTTAATCATATATGAGGTTTGGCGTGCAATTTAAGTATTATTATTGTGAAAAAACATAAAAAATAAAACCAAACAGTTGCTTTATAAAAGGAAAAAAACATAGAAATTTAAAAAAAATAACAAAATTAGATAATTCTCGTGGTACATATTTACCTATTTTCGTTATGGTTTGCTAAGACTTGTCCCAGCTTTTAGATTTGTTTAATAATATGTAAGCACTGCAATACCATTTAAACAACAAATAGCAATGTATTCGCATTTTATACTTAAATTATAAAGCTGAAAAGTTTGTATGTTTGAACGCGCTAATCTCAGAAACTACGAGTGCTAATTATACAAATTAATCGTGCAAGGCTTTAGACGATTTAATATCACGGAGCGAAGAAACGGGTGAAAAAACCAAATATATGAACAAAAGTATATATTTAAATAAAACACTTTAACGGTTTAAACGCGATATATTAGTTAAACTTATTTGGAAATGATGTCTCCTTGTGACCACGGCTGCTGCAAAGCATCCGAAACGTCGGGCCGAAGTTAAAAATCATTTCCAAATAAGTATAACTAATATATCGCGTTTTAAACCGTTAACGTGTTTTATTTAAATGTGTACTACACGCGTAAACTATAGACAGTATTTAACAGTATATATTTTAGGATAAATCACAAGAGTCGTTGTTCAGTGGTTACGAAATTTGATAGAAATTAATACATTATTACCAACTATTTGTTACAGGTTGTATCAAAATTATAATATTAACCTTACAAACAACAAAACAACTTTGGTCAGATCAGACAGTACAATATAAAAGCTAACCCACCTCACTCAAAAAGCTGTCCAAATCCCTTATATCGTATCCAAACCTTGGCCGCCTCTTCTTTCTTCTATGCCTGTGTCTATGCTTCTTCCGAACATACTCCGTCTCATCACTAGAGTCCGAATACGAGTAGACCCCGTTAAACTCATCACACGCACTCTTAAATCTACGATTGGACCAATCGTTTCTCACGATCTTCTCTCTACTCTTGCTTCTTCTATCTCTTTCTGTGGACCTGGACTTTTCGTTTTGAAACTTCTCTAGGTTCTCCTTCAAAACCCAGGTTAGGGATACCTTGGATTTGTGGTGTGGTAGTGGTGTTGAATGCCATAGTCCCATGTTGCCTATCTCCGCGTATTCTGTTTCCGAAAAGTTGCAACTATTTGTTATGTCGCAGTTCGCTAATAGATCTATTACTTCGTGTACTGGGGTTGGAGTTGCAGGGCCCTGCTAAAGAGAGTCATAACATTTCAATCTATTTACGTAACATTATTTCTAAATATGTAAGTAAGTCTGTGTATAACAGAGTCATAAAAATCAAAAATAGATTTTAGATTGAAAAAAAAATTACGATACGGGCAGGACAGGAACTGGCATTGACATTTTTTTTTATGATAGACGAGGACAGGCAATCACGAGGTTGATGGTAGGTGATATACCCCAGCCGATAGGATCTTAGCATGATGCGTCGTCGACCTATTTTGGCTTTGGATATTCGGAAATCCACAGACGGTAACCGAAACGCGATTAAGCTTCACGGTTTTTTCAACTGTGGACGCTGGTTCATGATCGTGACACAGACGGAATTTTTATATTCCTACCACCTATTCAATAAAACAGAGTGATCGATTTTCGATTCTACATTGATGTTTAATTTATACAATTCCATCATATGCACACGTGAAAAATAATAAAGTTTTCATACAACAGAACCGCAAAAAAATACTTAAAATAATTAACTATTTCTTCTCAATGGAGCAAGGAAATATTAAATAAGTAGTAATGTAAGTATTTTTACGCCTACATTATTATGATTATGTGATTATTTAAAAAAGCTCGTATTTACCTCATGCCGTCCATTATTTTCATTTTCCGGGATCTCCTCGTTAACACTGTAGGGTGGCGGCAAGTCCTTTGATACTATTTCTGAAAGCACAAAATATTTTTTTCTAGTTACATTTATTTTTATAACCCACTACGTATACAGAATATACATAGATATTGTTTTTTTTATAGATATGATTTACTTGTACCGCTTACAATATATATATTATTATGAAGCAATATACCTATTATAGTACGTTCAATAAGGATCTGTAGAAAAAAGCTATAGTAATGTGTAGATCCGTCGATTACAACTATTGTCTTTGATACAACAAATATGTACTAAATTGTTGCATTATTTTTTTATTTATTAATATTAAAAATTTACATGCTGGGTGAGTCACTTCTCATTGCAAGTGAAGTCGCGGGCGAATATTTTATTAAAAATTGATTTAAAAATCGAAAATAAATTAAAACAATTTTCGACTCGGGCAGGACTTGAACCGGCATCGTCAGCGTTCCGTGCTGTTGCTCTACCAATAGAGCTACCGAGTCATTGTTAAAAATTGTTAAGCGATTATCATTGAATAAAAAAGTAAATTATTTTGTGTTAGTAACTTTTATGTGTGTAAGTATTAATATTTGTTTATATATATATAAATATTAAAAACCAATTTCATTATCACATGACAATAACCGTTAATATTCAAATAGAAATAATAATTTAGAACTCACACAATCAACTACACGAAAGCTCGATCGAAAACATTTAAACTGCATATACATTCAAATTTCACTAACATACACTTTCACACGAACCAATAAATTCGATTTAATATCAAAACCATTAAAATCACAACGCGTATAATTAATGAGTTATAACCGTGTTCGTTTGAGCGTATTATTGGGCATAAACAAAAACGAATGAATGTTGAACAATGTAAGTATTGTTGGAGCCTGCCTACTACCACGTTTGGATGAAGACTGACTGGAATCTTGGTCCTTAAGCGCGAACCGAAGTATACGAGCGAAGAAGATTTGATAAAAGCTTTACAAATAAAAGATAGAGAGCTTCAAGTCATCTTTCGCTAAAACATTAATTTTAGCGAAAGGTGACTTCAATTAAAAAATTACAATATGTCGCCGCAATAAACGGTTAAAAATAAAAATAAAGATTTTACATTATTAAATGATAGGGATAGAAAAATTTGGGGGCCACTTGATGGTAGGTGAAAAGAACCCAGCCATATAAACTCAGCGAGATGCGCTGTCGGCCTATTTTGGTTTTCGGATATCACAGACTGAAACCGTAACGTGATTAAACTTCACGACTTTTTCGTCTCTGGACGGTGGTTCGCGAACAAGCTGGAATTTCGATATTCCTAACATCCATCCAGATTTCCAGACGAAGTCCAATGTAGTGTGTATTCTTTATGTTTGACGAGCCATTACTTAAGTTTAATATTTTATTAAATAACATAGTTTCTGATGTTTCGCCGAAATTCGAATCTACTACATATTAAAGAGCCCACCCCCATGTTTTTATTGTATTCAATTTATATTGATATTATTATTGAGCTTTTAAAGAGTTTGTTTGTTTAAACGCGCTAATCTCAGTAACTACTGGTTCAAATTAATAAAATCTTTGATTATTCAATTATGATTTAGAACAAGAGAGACAAGAAACATTTTTATGGTAATCATATTTGGCATTACTACTAATTATTTGTTTGAGATCATCAAAATAGTAATATTTATTTTGCTAACAACAAAACGTTTGCCGGATCAGCTTAGAAAGAAAAATACGGGGGAAGTAGACACATGTTTTGCTAACAACAAAAAACGGAAACACTCGGTTACTTAATCCATTCCTTAGCACTGATAATAACACTTAATCGCGTCGTATTTTATTAGGCTAACTGTAAGACGGATAAGTACAAATTCTTATCTATATCAGTCTGTTAGCTAATATGGTATAACCATAATGGGATGCCATTACCATTGCAATTACAAACGATTCACGATAGACAAGAACTGTGTTGGAATAACTGAAAGCCTTTTATTTAAATAGAGTTGCCTGGAAAAGTTCGCTCGATTGCTTCAGTAATATTGGTTCGAATATCTTACAAAATATGGTATTATTATGTAGTGAAAACCACACTGATGAATAATTCTCCCAGTTTTTCCACATTTCCCGCAGCTTCTTCGCTCCTGTTTGTCACAGCACGATGTTTTATAGATTATAGCCTTTTAAATAAAACACTTTAACGGTTTAAAACGCGATATGTTAGTTAAACTTATTTGAAAATGATTTTTAACTTCGGCCCGACGTTTCGACGAGCCTATAGCCTCCATAGATACATACTCTAACCAACATAAAAATCATTTTCCAATTCGAACAAGTAGTTCCTGAGATTTTTGCGTTCGAACAAAGAAACGAACTCTTCAGCTTTATATATTAGTATAGATAAGTACCTGTCTATATTTGTCGGGGTTAAAAATCCATCGCGATTTCTCACGATGCGGCCGGGACTACGCACGCTAAATGCCTGGAGGCTTCATCCGACATTGCCTTGGTCACGAATCATTCATTACGCCGCACTCTCTTAATTTAGATATACGAGCGTAACAATATGTAATTGGAGTTCAAAGGTCGTTTTGCGGCGATCTATATTGTCTTTTTTTTATAGAGAGGAGTGGGACAAGCATGGGGAGGTGAAACTCCAGCCGTATAACTTGATGCGCTGTATTTTTGCTTTGGATATTCGGAAATCGCGATTAAACTTCACGCCGTTCTTATCTGTGGACGGTGGTTCGCGACCCTGAAGCAGTTTCGATATTCTTACCACTCATTTAATATCCAGATTTCCAGACGTAGTCCAACATAAAAAGATGTTGATCCCGGTGGGAATCAAACCCACGACGCGATGATTACTAACCATACACTGCTATCATTAGACTAAGAAGCACGACAAAAGACCTCCGCATTTTTTTCAAATTTAAATCACATATTTTTTGGTTTCTTGAACAACATCTTCGACACAATACTGTCTATAGTTTACGCGAGTAGTACACATTTGAATAAAACACTTTAACGGTTTAAAACGCGATATAAAAGTTAAACCTATTTGAAAATGATTTTTAACTTCGGCCCGACGTTTCAAATAAGTTTAACTAATATATCGCGTTTTAAGCCGTCAAATTGTTTTATTTAAATCTTCAACACAGGCCATCAAAGATGAATAATTACCCAAAAAGATAAAAATACTCAAATAGATAAAATAACCCAAAAAGAAGAATATTGTGTAAATACATTTAACTCATACATTTCGCGTTTCAAACCGTTATGAGTACAACTCGCGTAAACTACAGTCTACAGACACTTAATATTTATACAAATAGACGTAAATTTAAAAACTATGTTGTTATTTGAGATATATTTCAGTCATAAATATTTTAACGTGCAACATCTTTCCACAACGTTAGTTTCGTTTGTCAGGCAAGAATGTGTGAGTTGGGTGAATTTTAGTTCGAAGCTCGCCATTAGCTCGCTCATGAAACTGGAGCTATAATGAGTAGTGTTAAAAGCGAGCTCTAACCAGACCACTTGGCGCTTTTAAATTAGAACTTCACCACCTGCATTCATACAAAGAGATCTTTGACTCAGCGTGAAGACAAAATTGAAATAACATAGCTTAAATAATATTCTTTTTCGGTTAAGTCGGTTAGAAAGTTGCTTGTATACCGAAATTGAATTGAAGCTTAGATAATTTTTAACAACGTTGTTTTGCATAATTATTAATGCAATCTCGTTTTTCAATAAACGTTAATAACATGTTTAAATCGATACTGTCTATAGTTTACGCGAGTAGTACACATTTAAATAAAACCCTTTAACGGTTTAAAACGCGATATATTAGTTAAACTTATTTGAAAATGATTTTTAACTTCGGCCCGACGATTCGGGCGTTTGTCTCCCCGTGACCACGGCTGCTGCAAAGCATCCGAAACGTCGGGCCGAAGTTAAAAATTATTTTCAAATAAGTTTAACTAATATATCGCGTTTTAAACCGTTAAAGTGTTTTATTTAAATGTTTAAATCGTCCATTTACGTAAAATATAATCGGTTTATTTTTAACCATGATTTAAGCTCAATCGATAATATGATATAAAGTAAGTAAATAAAAAATCTATATCTATACTAATACATATAAAGCTGAAGAGTTTATTTGTTTCTTTGTTTGAACGCGCTAATCTCAGCAACTGCGGGTTTGAATTGAAAAAATCTTTTTGTGATGTTAAATCATTTATCGAGGAAGGCTATAATAGGCTATAAAGCCTCGCGCTTTGATTAATAGAAGCGAAGATACAGTGGGAAATGTGAACAAAACGGGGGAAATTTCTCATCTCTGTAGATTTCAGATGCGTACGCTGCGAAAACGGGTAGATACCTAAAAATGTGTTGGAATGATTACTCTTTAAATTATCTAAAAAAAAAGTCCGCTATGCTAAATGTCTATCTTTAAGATTCACGTGCCAGAACGACGGAAAGAGTCGTGGGTAACAAAAATGAATTTGGATGTCTCAAATAACGATTCTCGCAGACGAAGTCGCTTACACAGCTAAAAAATATAAATTATATTTTATCATAAAGCTAGGTTTGAGACAATCTTGGATTCTCTAAGATTCGCCATAACGCTTATGGATTTGTAACGAAAAATAGGTGCAAACAATGCCACAACGTTCACCAGTCCATTTCCTAAGAAGAGACAAACCTCCACTGATTATTGAATTTATTAAGGATAGGAATTATTTACACAAGATTATGTCAAAGAAAAATAATGAATAAAGCTAGGAAATTAATTATTAGCCGGTAGTAAATCTAAAGTTACCGAGACGCATCAAGTTTGATCTAAATTAAAATCATAATGCGAATACTACACGAAAATTACACGAGCTTAGTTTTCTTGAGAACTCTATATTCATCATTCTATAAATATAGGTAATCGAAGCTTATCTCCGAGCAAAATGTTTAGTTTCATTTTTAATTTTATTAACCAAAATGTACAACGTGGGTACAGAACAGCTGCAAAGCATCCAAA